AACTAGCAGATGACATGGTTGGCTACTGAAGAGCCAAAGACAAGGATACGACCTAAAGCTGGTGGCGCTACAACTCTACATTCTACTTTCTAGGAATATGTAAGAGCAGCGGGAAACAAAAATATTTTTCTGTAAAAAGAACGCGGACCACAAGAGTACGGAAAGTAGAATATATTTTTCATATTGTGTAGTGACAGGAGAATAGGCAATTGGTGAAGCTACTAATTCATAATGTGTAGAAGTAACTTTCGAAAGAAGAATATATATTGCTCAAGTATATCGATTTAGTCAGTTGAGGACGAAGACGCTAACTCAACACTCCACCCACTGTCTCTCTGCTTTGAAGTAACTCATTCGGCCGCTGACGACTACACAGTCGACTCACATTTTTATTATTATCTACAGTGTGTTGGTGCTATTTGGTCACCTGGTTTCAATCTCAAGGGTTCTCGATCCTTAACATCGGCTTCACCGCGCTGAGTATTCCACGTGAAAAGTTAGAATAACGCCGGCAGAGCCGGAGCCCTGACTAGAACAAAGAAACGGGTGTGGGTGAACGAATCAACTACAATAAGATTCCTCTATACCAGAACAAATTGATGAAGAATCTCCATTGGAGATGGTACTAGGGAATTGAGTTATGGCCTGAACAAGCGGCGCCAGGTTTTACGTTCGTCACAGATGAACATAGCGCGTATTTCACAAAAGTGAAATTCCACATAAAGGCTAGCTATATTGGTCGTTGCACTAGTGTGTGCAATCTTCGCATATAATTATAAGTACTATAGCATCGATCTGGATCTTTCCAATTCCATAAACTGTTCCAGCTACGATCTTTGTTCCGTAAACTGCTACTGGAGTAAGCCTTCTATGTATAGTTTCAAGTAGTTGTAGCAAAAATGAAGTAGCTTTGTTCCTCGTCCATAATCTGCAGCAAGTGCAAGCCCAGGCGTGTAAGTGTAGCCCGCAATTTCTGGCGACGGCGCTAAATTTCCGAAGGAAAAGCGCAACGCCGCGCCGCCGCTCCAATGCCAATCATTCCCACGCATTGGGCATATTAGAGGAGGGACGAACGTTACTTCTAGATTGCAGCATGAACTTTCTATTAGTGGAGGGACGAACGTTACTTCTAGATTGCAGCATGAACTTTCTATTAGTGGAGGGACGAACGTTACTTCTGGATTGCAGCATGAGCTTTCTCCTCAACTTTCAATGGTCATTTGGGATCGCAGCGAGGCTCTCGTTAGAAAACAGGGCAAAACACAGGGAGAACAAGTAGAGGGGTAAAGGGCCCTTTTCTTTCAGCATCATGATGACCAATGAATGCTGAGCTTTAACTATAGCAGAGAACGAAGTATGAAGGGGGTCTCGTCCCTTCAGATGAATTAGAGGAGGGACGAACGTTACTTCTAGATTGCAGCAGGAGTCTATCTTTAGAACTATTGCGGCGCCCTTCCCCTTGAAAAGGAGCCAAGGACGATGGTAGTGAGCGTGAGGGATGTAATTCAGAATCAGAAAGAACCCCTAATATTATACTACTAACCTAGTATAATTATAACTAAGACAACTAACGGCTTCTTTTTTGTCAGGATGAAAATATACTACTTGGGACTAAAACGTGGGTTCTTTTTAGTCCCAAGTAGTATATTTTCATCCTGGCAGTACTCGTACTGGCGGGATAAAGCAGCTACGTGACAACGTGATGATGCCTCGATCGATCTTCAAGTACACCTACAAGATGGGCGCGCTTTTCTTACTACTTTTATTGCTTCGTGAAGGATTGCGGCGCCCTTCTGGCAGTCTGCGCTGTACTTTGTGCAGGATTTAACTATTGCATTGCGTTGTATTGTATAAAATGAATCAAGACCATGTGTGTGTGTGAATGCCTCGCTCCAGATATGTTCTACCTTGGTCCCGCTACGAGAGAGAGAGTGAACAACACTCACGTTCCCCGTGCGACTGTCGTCTTGTTGCCTGGTGTCTTGACATAAATTAGGATTCGTCGGGGGGTAACCTTTGCCAAAAGCAGCCTCTTCTTTCATCTTCTTGCCCAAAGCTTCGACGTTGAAAGGAGCGGCCACCTCGTCCTCTTTCGCAGTATAAGTCTCCTCAGTATTACTTTGTTGTAGGTCTAGATTCAAAGCTGTACTGTTCTCCTCTTGTTCAAGTTTAGCAGCATCGTAGTTTGTCGAGTGCGGGTCTGTTTGTTTTTCGCCTAGTCCAAGTGGATGAGTACGACCGTCACCACCTAGCACCTCCTGCTTAGTATCGCCTTCAACAACAGGTCGTGCTGGATTAGGATTTTCACCATGTTGATCATTTGTTTCCTTTTCACCTACAGATGAAGCGCCAACTTCTATCTCTTGATGTGGTTCCTCTTTCGCCATCTCGTCGCGGAGATCTTCACGAGCAACCTCGTTACTATGCGGCTTTCCTTCTTCCTGCTCAACATCTTTTTGCTTTAATATCCCGCTGCCATCTTCCTTACTGCTTGCTGCCACATCTCCCTTGTCGTTTTCCTCAGTGTTGTGAACAGCGTCGGCTTTTGTTCCTTGTGCCTCGTTCTCGGCTTCTTCCTTAAGGGACCCATCTACTTAGTGGATTAGTTTTTGTTTTTCATCACTCTACTAATTCAGTTGCTTTTATTATTGTAGTACTGAAGGAGAAGGATACCATACCAATGAAATTGTTGGGCGCAATTGAGTTTGAAAGTATTTTCTTGTTGATCATGAGTTGTGATTCCTACAGCTGCTTACTTACACAATTGAAGTTGAGCAAGGAACAATGATAGAAAACTTATCCTTAAGGAACATCTGCTGCTGGAGGTTGGACTTTGACATTATTTTCAGGAAGTTGAGCTTCTTCTGCTTCTTGAGGTTGTTCGACAGAATGAGTATCGTCTTTCTTATATCCCTTCTCGCTGTCCACCTTGATCTCTCCAACCCCATCCTCCAGTTCTTGACTCTCAGCCACAATAGGAGCTTCATCGCCATGCAGCTCATCGTGTAGTTGATGTTCATCCTGTTCAACATCTGAAGTAGTAGAAGTAGGTTGATGTTCATCTTCTAATAGTTGACGGCCTTGCACCTCTGAATGCTGCTGATCTGCTAGGAAGGGGGACGCGGCGCCGTCGGCTGCATCTCCTACCTGCTCAGACGAAGTGTCTTCTTGTTGCCCTCCGCGTTTCCCAGATGATGAAGATGAAGTGCCATGCTCTTGTTGCACATCGTCAATGCGGCCACTAGAAGAAGTAAAAGAATCCTGGTCCTCCTGGTCGTGCTGGTGCTCAAATAGTTCGTCGTGATCCTCGACCAATGGGTTTGATGTCGATGCTCCACTTTTATTTAAAGCTCAGCATTCAATGGTCACTGATGCTGAACGGAAGAGAGGACCACCGTCAAAGCTCTCCCCTTTCCCTTCCTTTTCCCCTGTTCTCTAAAGGGGTCGCTTCTTTGATCTCAGTGACCAACCCCAATGACCACTGAAAGCTGAGCCTTAATTTATAGACCACTTGCGCATTCACCTTGCCACCTCCACTAAAAGCTTGCTGTGCAAAGAACAAGACGCCAGAAGACAGAGAAAGCAGTAGGTTCTTACAATGGATTCTCCTGTAGAGTGGGGGTGTGCAACAAGTTCTAGCTCTAGAGCGACAGGTGGAACAGGGACTTGTGGAGGCTGTGCTGGATAATATAATAGTAGAAGAGCTACTAGGCCTAGATGAAATTGAAGCTCTGCTTCTTCTAACATTCATCGCAGGAGCCTTTCGTGTCGGGTTTGCCCTTCTAGTAGTTCTAGCGATGTGTCCTCTAGTACTGGCGCTTCCTTTACTACGGCTAGAAGAAGTCGCTCTCGCTTGTGATTTCTCATGTCTACGGGCGGAAGGCTCTTGAGACTCGTCTCCAGTGCGAGACGTAGAGCCAGAGGGAGTATTCGTCCGGCCAATTACATGTACGCGCCCTTCAGCTATTGAGCAGGTAGTTGCGGTCGTCTGTACTTCTCGTGGCCTTGATCTTCTTAACGCCAACGTCAATGCTTCTGATGCATGACGTTCACAAGTTGTACCAGCGGGCTCTCCTGCTGAAGAGACCTGCAGCTCTTCTGTCTTCGACGTGCTCGCCTTCCAAGGCCTTCGCCCACGATCGTGGTCCTGACCCTCCACCAGCATTTTGCTTTTCTAGGTGAAGGTGGCTGAATCGGCTGAATCTGAATTGTCCGCGGTTTGTACGAAACCCCGCAGCAAGACCAGACAACACCCCAGCAACACCAGAAAACACTGCTGTGGTGTGTCCTGGTTGGCGCTGGAGCCAAGCAACAAGCTAAAACTAGACGATTGAAGAAACACGTTGTTCAGTACGTAGAACGGTCATTGATTCAAAACATGTTGGAGTACTAGATAAAAGATGTTTAGAATATGAACAAGTTGTATAATATGCAAGTTATGGTCTTATGTTATATCGCAATCATCTATTCTGTATTGTCAATGACATTTGACTTCTATTAAAGGTTGATGACAAACGTTAGAGTTGATAAGCAGTTGTATGAAAACAGATCACATCTTCGGGAGACACCAGCGGAACGATCAGTCGTAGAACAAATAGATCTTCTTCTCATGAACAATGCAACCTGTTGATCGCTCAATATCCCTGTTCTCTCTACATGTCTTGATCCGGACATGATACAGCAGCTCAAGATCCTTCTTCTTCTTCTTCTCTCTGAATTTCTCAAAGTGTTCTGTTTCTCTCTTGAACAATGTTGGCAAAAGCTGCATGCTTGTTACCTACTGAGGGGCCCTGCTCGGGAACATGATTCTGCGTCACTCTCAAGTGTCATCCGCAGTAGAACTTGAACTGCAGAATCTCTTGTTAAATCGTTGCAATGAAAGTACTCGGGACTTCCTCTTTCCTTGAAGTTGACCGATGAACTTCTGACTAGAATGGGAAGGAACTCCAAAATGCTAGAAGAGCACCTAGTCGCAAGACTTTACGTTGAGGATGCGTTGGGTAGAACACAAGTAGAGAAGAATGAACATCCCGATGAGACTGACACGTGGCTCAAAACACAGCGGAGACAAGCATTACCACGTCTCAAAAGTTTCCTACTGTTGTTCTTCGTCGCTCATGCTCCCCTGTCTGTTGGCACAACGAGCGAAGCCTGATGATCTTAGCCCAACAAGTATTCAACATTTTTCTACTTTTGTTGAAGTTGAGTATGATGACATTTCCAAAAATATTAGACAACAAGTACTTATTTATCATATGGACTTGACAAGTGTGAGAGCGATACAACAAGGCGATGTTTGGACACATCAACAAATCAAATTCAAGAGAAATATTTTCAGACGAGCTTCTCCGTCTAAAAACTTAGTAATCATTCTAGTGCAATAGGTTTCGGTTTCCGTCAATCTTCATGATCCTTTACTACTACCATTCAGTTTCATCAGACAAATGACAATATAGGTTAGAGGACTCATACGTAATGAAGAAGCTTAGATTCCTGCTTCACTTATAGAAATCATTACCATGCAGGACGATTTGAGTCCTACTTTCGAAATAGATAGGATGATTCCCTGCTTGCTGTTCTTGAAAACGATTCCCATTCCTATCCGTTCAGGTTCTTCGCCTTTACTTGTTGCTCTAGGATGCTCTTGGCTGCCTTGATCAGCGAAAGCTCTTGGTCCCAAGACTGCTCGTGCGCACTCTGCCGAAGCCAAAGATGAAGAAGGTTCTACATGATCGTCTACACATCATGAGATCGGAATCATTTTCGTGATGAAATACAGTTCTGTATAATCTTTTTCTTTAAATCCTTGCTACCTTGAACATGAAGATTGTGGTCATGATCATCATCTTCAGGTCCAGAACAACTAAATAGTAGTTGTAGTAGGTGTAAAAAAGTTGTGGTAGTTGTAGTAGTTGTAGTAATAGGTAGGATAGGATAGGACACGAAGACCAACATAAAAAACTTCCTCCGCGCTTTGGACAGATTTCATTTCTGCCATCCGCAGCTCCATTCTCATGCGCGCAAGTGCTATGTCCTCCTCGCAGCTCATGGCCGGGTCTGAACGCAAATACTTCTGCGTCCGTAGACGTGCAATATCCACGCTTCTCATCTTGTTCGGATGGTGCTGCGGGAACACCTCTTCTAATGTGGACATTTTACTGGGAACAATTTTGCTGGTAGTATGTTGTGGAAGATGTTGCTGAAGAAGCAGCTCTTGATGTGCATCTGTACGTGGTGGAAAGAGAGTGCGTCCATCGTTTGTAGCTGGCAAAAGTTGTCCTACAGAGGGTTGTGCTGCCCCAGGCAGCGACAGCGGTAACCCACCAGACATTGACAGACTGTGATTGTGAGGAAAAAACTCCGCTTCCACCTCAGCGAGTAGTCGAGACATGGATTTATGATGATGACCCAGGTGGTTCTGGTCTCCTCCTATCTACTTACAGGTTCCGACATTGCATTCTTCAGAACATCCCTGGGGACTCCTTTCTCGGTGGGGAAGGAGCCAGGGATGTAGTTGGTGCAGGATGCAATCAAACCCTTAACTATCGATGACATCAAGGCATTGCCGGTCCCGGTTCCGCCTCTTGAGCGAGTTCATGTTAGATCTATGCATCGAAATCGATGTCGTCAAGGTCAAATATGCATTCTATCGATCTCAACTCTACGACTAACCTTCTGTATAACTGACTCCAAACGTCGAGCCTTAATGGAGGCTTTGCCCAACCGGACGACGACCCCGAACTTGCTGGAGCACCACTGTGGCTGCTACTACTTGCACCAGGTAGTTTATTCGCCGTCGCACCAGGACCGCGACTAGCAGAAGTACCTCCAGAACCGGAAGTAGATGTTGTACTAGTTGTATTGTAAACGCGCGGCGCTATCTGCTTATAAGCGGACGTAGCGGAAGTACAACCAGTGGAGTTCCCTTTGTTTCTTGCAGACAGCGATGCAGAAAAAGCCTCTGCAGCGGCTAGCTTCTCAGTATCATGCTGGGCTGTCGGTGACACTTCAGCTCCGTGCTGCTTACCCTTCTTCTCCAGTAGCCGGGACCGTTCTGCGGCTTGAGCTCGCTCTACTGGTCCAGTACCAGAAGGACCACACGTTGACGGCCGACTTGAAGATGCAACTTCAGCTGTAGTTGTGCTCGTCTTGGATTCAGGTGGCCTTCTTAGAAAATAGAACTAAGGAAAAGACGTAGAAATTCGAGTAACGCTCTTCCTCGTCTAAATAAACTTACGCGGTACAACTTCTATCATAGGGACCAATAGCAATATAACAGACTAGTACTTGAAGCTATACCTTTTTTACAGGTTTACTTTTCCTTAGGAACAACTTACGCTTACCTTTCTTACAGTACTTTTTTTCGTTTCATCCCTTCTTATCTTCAGTCCTCCCGTTGATGATGCTGTTGCACTCGAGTCTGCTATAGGACGATGCTTCTCTTGTTCTTGCAGAATAAGATTAGAATCGTCGAAGATTTATTTCTATCCTCTTTGATGTTCACACAGAATCACAGCTACAAACGACGAAGGACAGTATATTGATAAGTACATCAAGCTACTAATCAATCTAGATCCACATCCATCTTCCACCCTACTCTTTTCTTGCAACACGAAGTTATTTCTACCTTTTCTCGTCCAACTACAAGAAGTAAACAACAGATATGTAAGTAGATGAAATTATTGATCTCTTTGAGTTTGATGTATGAGAATGATTATTTGTTGTTTCAGTAGCAGTACTTCTTACCAAACCATAACATCGACCTGCTTCTCTTGCAGATGTGAATCGATTCTGTGTATTTCGCTAAGGAGTAACTTTTCACGCAAATCAGCTACCTCTCTTTGCAACGCTGCACTTCTGCTCTGTTCGTCTTCCACTAGTCGCAATAAGGAACAAGAAAGATCTTTCTTTGAATCCTGATGCGGGTCATCGTCTCTATTAATTTCCTGGTTGAGGTTCCGGTGCTCCTCGTCAACTCCACCTCCGTCTTCTAGAGAGCCGTCGTTTTCGTTAAGCGTTTTAGATTCATCAATGATCCCTTGTGCTTGTTGTTGTGCAGTTTCTATAATGTTCGGAACCGCAACATCTAATTGTATGTCCTCGGTCGTTCTCACACTTGCTCCAGCATTATCGTCCACAGCTGAAAGATGCGCTTGCCCTTGTTCTCGTCCCTTCTGCTCACTTATAGCTCCACTTCCACGTACGACCTCTACAAGAGAACAACTACTACTGGAACTCGACGAAGGATTGTTTTGATTATCTTGTAAAGCTTGAAGTCGCGCGATAGCTTGAGCAGCCTTTAGACGTTCCGCTTGCTCAGATTCAAATTAGAACCGTCCGAAATTATTGTTCATCTTTGCGATGCATCCTTGAAAGAACTGCATCACGATGAGAATTATATTCGATAGACTGAAATAAGCGAGCAACTACTTAAAATAAACGAGATGCTCACTGAACAAGGAAGAGTAGCCCTGTCAAAGCTGCCTCTCTTATTTCAGTCAGTAACTCTCTTATTTCAGTCAGTTTTCGAGTACTCAGTCATGCTACTTTTCAAGGATGCAGACAAGTCTGAATCTTAATCTAATGTCCTCTGCCAGTCAAGTCTAAGGGAATCCAATTGACTCTTCAACAGCCTCACCACAGACCGCAAACGCTCTAACATCCGCTGCTCAGTTGGTTGCTTAGAAATAGAAGCGGAATAGGTTGCTGTCTCAATACTACATGTTGATCCACGACCCGACCACTATAGTACTCATACGACTCTACCTCCTTCTTGTTCTTATCACTAAAAGAAGATTGAAGAGCATCATCAGTACTACAACAGATATTATACATGAAGATGAGCATCATCAGTACTACAACAGATATTATATTACAGTGAGCTAGAGAAACAGATATTATCCAGTGAGCTAGAGAAAACCCTTGCACGAGAGACAGATATTATACAGTGAGCTAGAGAAAACTCTTGCACCAGAAAAGCTGAAACACCACAAAGACCATAAGCATTCCGGCAACTCCTCCGGACCCAAATGTGCCTTGGTTCGAAGATGCTAAGGGAGAAGGCACGAGATGTAACTGCGACGTAGGTGAACCATTACGTCCTGGACCTAGGAGAAGCTTCTTCTCCCTCTGACTCATGAGTGCGTCCTTTGGTGACGAAGCTAACGCATTGCCTCTGGCTGCGGCGAGAGTTAGAAGAACATTAGATCATTGTCATTGTGATGTCTTTGTGATAGTGGATTCTCTAAAATGAAGAGGATTTGTCTTTGTGATGAGACAATGTAGTCCTCCTCTTCTCTTTTCAAAGACAATGTAGTCCTCCTCATGTCAAAGACAAAGAGAGATGGTGGGTCCTCTTAAATGATGCCAAAAATATTTTCCGATCTTCGATCTACAGTGTAAATTCATCAGCTCAAAAAGAAGTCTTGCTCATAAAAAAGCACAACTTGCTCCTCCCCCTCCAGTCCGTGGAGACGGCATAGAGGCCCACAGGCCTGCTTCGAGCTGCTCTGAGACACTAGCTAGCTGGTCACGCAAAGCTTGGTTATCCCTTCGAGCCTCCTCGTAGTGCTTCTGCTGCCTGCTGCCTTCTTTTGTTAGAGCACTATTGTCTGGATGTGCGGGAGTAAGATCTTGTAAGACCTATTTCTGGAACTAAAACTAGAACTAGCGGCAACTCCTACACTGTAAGGACATAGAAGAGGTACTAGGCGAAGAAACAACCAGTTTCTTCAGGGAGACCACGACGGGGAAAGAACCTTGTTGCTCTGAATCTGATTAAGTCATTTCATTATGTGAATATTTTTAGAACAGAATTTCAAACAAGACATTTATCGTATCTTCTTCAAGCCGGACACTTCGTCTCTGAACTGCTCGATTTTTTGATTCAGGTGTTCGTTCTCTTTCTCGCTTGTAGCTTGCGCAGTTCGCATTTCTGCTACCTTACTTTCGATGACGCTGTGAACTGCGCGTAACTGCTCCGTTGCTGCTCTTAATTGGGCTGAAGGTTAGAGGTACGTAGATCAAGAACGACTTTGTAGTTCCTAACATTGCAGCGACTACAACTGCTATTGTTGTTCACAATCACATTTCTGAATCAGAGTGAGTCTAGCGAATGAGAATCGATGAATCAAAATAAGCTTCGAAACGTAGAAAGTCGATGAATCAAAACCAAAACTACCTTGGGTAGTTGTAAACAACGTCATTCAAATTTGATTCTTGTTGTTTGTTATTGTTAAATGTACCTCTACTTAATGATAATCCTTATGCGCTGTTAAATGTACCTCTTTTTCTTATAATGCGCCTTAATCTGTTGCCCTCGATTCTGCTAGAGCCTCCAAAGCTTCCTGATTTTCTCTATCCTTCTCCGCAATTTGATCTCGTAGCTCTGTCGCCTCTTGCTCTAACGTTTTCTGCACTTTTTCCTTAGATGAAGGTAGCCAAGATCTAGGTCACCTTCGACATACCACCGATATAGAACCTTAAGATTACAGCCAGAAGGACCACTAGATAAAAGCGAAAATAACTGGTGTTGGGAACCAAAACTACGTATCTATACAGGTGCTGATACGAGGATGAAAACCCAAAACAGGTATACATTATCACATTTACTTAATGTTAATCTACCACTCTCGAAAAACCCTTCCGGACCTTAACTTCAAACTCCTTTTTTTGTTCTGTTAATCGTTCGACTTCCGTCTTCCCCTGTGCGAGTTGTTCTGCTACCTCTGAGCCTTGAGCAATAGCGGCATCTAAAGCATTCTGCAACTGCGCTTAGAGAGTGTGGAATGGGAATAGCATTCTGGAGAAGATGGACTTAGAGAAATGGAGCTGGAGCAAAATGTAAGATACCAAAAGACTAAACAAGCAACATCAATCAAACAAGATACTTAGAACTAGAAATGGAATACCTACAACCTTACCGAACGATTGAAAAAATCAACATCAAGTACTTAGAAATAGAATCCTAATGATGAATTTGTTCGATAAGTGCGTCATGTTCTCCCTCTTTGGTTTGCAAGGAATTGACAAGAGCATCTCTTTCGCCCTCGAGACGTCGCTTTTCGTCTAGCATTCTGCCGACCTCTCGTCGACCAATCGCTTCTGCTTCTGCAATACGAGCGGCTGCATCCGTGCCTTGCTTTTGTTGTAATTTTAGAAACGACCAACACATCAAGAACTTCTACATGAACGGACTCGCTGTGTACATGTACTTATCCTGATGCTGATCTAAGACATCACTCGCTAAATAACCCCGAAACAACTTCTGATCGCCTTAAAATAGCAAGAATTTCTTGTGCATGCGACGTCCCCAGTTCCTCGAGGCTTCGTTGATGCTCATTTTCTATCTGCTCCCTTTCTCTCGCTTGCTCGTCTAGCAGAGCGTCCCGCTCTCTAGTTATCTCGGACAGAAGGGCTTCTATTTCTTAGAGGGTGCGAGAGCAAGTGACGAGTAAGAAACAGAAAGCAACATTACTGTGAAATGAGGAGTAACGACCAAGATGAAAAATCCAAGTGTCAATCTATACGAAACATTACAACTACACCTATTCGAAAAACTGAAATAACCGAGTAACTATTGAAAATAAGGGAGATACTGAAAGAAGAGGAACGTAGTCAAGACTCTCTTATTTCAGTCAGTAGCTCGCTTATTTTGAGTTTTCGAATAGGCTATTTATCTTACATAAGCAGGTCGCACTTTATGCAGTCGCAGTGGAAGTTCTGTAATCAGTATAACATTACCCGACGACTCTTAACGTTCCTTTCCATGCTCTTCCTCGATGCGTGCTCTCCAAGCTTCTTGCGCTGTCGACATCTCATCCGCGCTCATGAGGAAGCGAGCTCCAGTCAGCAAACTCTGATGGATTTCCTTACGTCCTAGACCTACACGTTCGGCCAAGGCATCACTCTCTAAAACGATCTCGCGTTTGATGCGGTCCTGTTGTGGGAGTGGGTTTCTTTCGGCATTTCATTGAGACGTGATGTTCAGTCTTTAGGATTAGGTGGACGATTAAATTATCTATCACTATTTTCAGTCGCACGAATACGAAACAAGTTTTTGAAGATGACAACATCAAGCCATTTTTTACATTTGGACAATGAAGTCGTTCCGAATTGTCATTGTGTATTTTCAGTCCTGGAATCAATGAGAAAGTCCTCCCAGATAAGTAGGAGTACTATACCAGTTCCCTTTCCAATCTGAGGTTATCTTCATGCAACTGTGTCGCTCGATCTGTTGCTTCGAGGACTAAGCGTTCACTCTCCGCTCTCTCAGCATCCTCATTGGCTTCATGGATCGCCCTGACTGCATGCTCCTCGCCACGAATGCGCGCCACAAGCGTCTCCACTGCAGGAAGAGGAAGTATGAAAAGACGAATGGGAGCAAAGCTAAAGGAGTCTCGGGAGTATATTGGACTACGTCTCAAGGATCTGGATGTCGACAACTGCTGTAGAGAGGGGAATTCTGAAAATTTGATGCAAGGACGAAGAGGCTCTTTTTTACAACGACGATAACAAAAATTATGCTGGACGAGCCAATGTGACTTCAAATTCAATGCAACCTCCATCCTTCGGAGATCTAATTCTTCTAGGTCCGCGGCACGAGCAGTGCTATCTGCGACCTTGAAACCACACCATAAAAACCAAAAGCGGAGCCTCTCTTTTCTGGCTCGAGTCCTCTTGGTCGACTGAAAGTAGAGTTAGCAGAGCACGAATGTGCTCCGCTACTTCTTCAGAATGGCTTTCCCCCTGTGTTGTAAGCGTTCGTCGCCAGGTTTGATAAACATCAGTGCTGGAGTTTTCTCCTGCTGCCTCAATAGACAGTCCTCTTCCACCTCCTGGCGCCCCTACTGGCACTGATGTCGATGCCGATGCATTACAGCTCAGCCTTCAATGGTCACTGACTCTGAACGGAAGGGACCCCCTTCAAAGCTCTCCCCTTTGTTCCCTTTGTTTCTTTCGCCTGTTCTACTCTCAAGGGAAGGTGGCCTTTTCGATCTCAGTGACTCCAATCTCAATGGTGACCATTGAAAGTTGAGCCTTAAATGTAGTTGATGAAGCCGCTCCCTGCTGAGATGGTGGCATGATGCTCAACCTTTTCGCGTCTAGTGTCTTCACTGTCAATGGCGGCGACACACGAGGTACACTGTCAAGAGCACTCGTTGGCTCCACCGTTTCCGCTGGATGATCTTCCGTAGTACTAGCATTAGAGCTGCGCCTCGAATGTAATCTCTCCCTATCAAGATCCCTCAGGAATATCCCTGGGAAGGATAGTACAGTCCAGAGATGCCGTTGAGATCCAGGGATACCTATAAATATATATACCTACTAACTAACATATACATAGAGCGTTGACGGATATTTCCTATGTACCTACTAACACATCAGAGATTTCTTTTTCGAATAAAGGTAGCCATAACAGTACCTACCTGCCCCTCTCCTTCCTGCCCAACAGGACCTACACTCGACAGGTCCTCCAGCCAGTATTGCAAAGTGTGCAGCATCGTTTGTCTCAATGTCGTTGGCGGCAAAGGCAACAAGGATTCGCGAGGAGACGGCAGGAAGGGCTTAGATGAGTCCCCCATAGTACTTAAATATTGACCTAGTACAACAGTCTGAGGGTAGACCTATGTATGGTGGAAAGGACAGTTGAAGAAATGGATGTAGATGTGCATCTACTAGCCTAAGTGGATTCTAAGAAATGCGGCAATCGTCCGATATGCAACTGCGCAGTAGGAGCCAACTACAACAGAGAACGCAGGAAACTACAACAGTCAGGATCGAAAAACATAGATATACTTGAAAACTCATTTCTCTTTCTTCTTCAATTTCAATTCCAAAAATCCCTAGACCATAAGTGTTGTCGTACTGCCCGCAGCTGGTGGTGGGCCGGGGATTCTACTACTACTACTTGTCGCGGCCAGAGATGTTGAAGTCGCGCCATGATTTATTTGATGTTCCTCCGACATATGGTGTAGAGTAGAAGAATCTTGAGCATCATTTGCTTCGCGATCACTCAAACCTGAAGACACGTTCTTTCCTGTCGATGCTGTTGCTGGCGCTGTCGTATTAGTCACTACTCCTGTCTGAGGCTCTCCATTGGAAGATGAGCATGCTCTTGAGGGGGTTTCCTTTGGTCGTTGATTTGTCGGATCGAACGGAAGCTTCAAAAATTGGAAGAGACTGGAAATTCCGCGTGAAAAGAAGCAAAAAAGGGACTGGGACAAGGTCGAGGTTGTTATACGTTAAAAGATAAAGCATAGGATAAGGAATATAGCAAAGGTAATAGAAATATGATTTGCATAAAATAACCGAGTACACGCGAGGTATTCATGACTTTCATCTTGACAATCATCCTAACTACGTATTATGCGTATATGAAGGAGAAGATGCATATTCTAGTTCATCTAGTACTCGCTGCTTATCATTTACCCTCCATAAGTTGAGCTCTCGATGTTCACCCGCGGACGTTGAAAAAAGGTATGGCGTCGTGGCACAGCAATTTCCATTGGGCGTTCTACTCCTCCATCGGACTTCCAACGTGCTACTCCTGGAAAAACCTTGTCCGGAGATAATATCTTTCAATAATTTAAATTTTTTTGAGACTTAATATTGTCCATTTTGTGGTGCTGGTGATCATCGTTAATACTCATTCTGTGGTGGTCATCGTCATGCTAGTCTATGTCCTCTATGAATCATACTTAATCAGTATATCTATAATATCTCTTCCTTCTAGTACTATGAACCTTCTCAACAGCAGCTCCAGATTCGGAAGAAACCGCATTCGGAGTGCCTAGAAGACGCGCACTTGTGGGTTTCTGAAGATGCTGTTTCCTAATTGTGTCCAGACTCAAACGCGGTGTGCTGGCCACAGTGTTCAGGTGCTTGCTCACGTTCTCGAGGATTACTTCGAAGGAATAAATAGAACGTGTGGGAGCGGATAGGTGAGTGGGTGAAAAGTATTCACATTCATTCTTGTGCCAGTCGAAAAGTACGGACTGACATACGAACAGAAACTTTCTTCCTTGAAGCGAGTCCTGTTTATTATTGTATTCATTTCATTGTGTTCCTCTTATCGGAATAAGCTTTGAAGCAGACAGAACAGTGCAAAAGATCGAGCTACTCAATCTTACGTTTAAGTAAGATTGCGAAGCCTACTCAGCTCAACTGTTCTGAAGAAGTAAGTGAAGTGTTCCTGGTGGATTAAATGTTGTGGAAATGAATGCGTGGATCCAGCTGGTGCGGAACTTGCTTGCTTCTGTTTTCTAAAAGATTCGGTCAAAGCAAGCTTGTTCTAGGCGCCAGAGCTCGTGGGTACGCCGCGACGAGCCTCTATGTCTATTAGCGCTAGGCGCGTTTTAAACGTCCAAGCAAAAATAGTGGCAGCATAGTGTCAAAAGGTCAGCGGACCCAGATCTGTTGCCTGGAGCGCCAGGTGAGACAAATCTGCCAGTATGCTGATGGGAAAAAGTCGTCCTGCTAGTCAAGCATACATGATCACCTGCCACGATCAAACACTCACGAGTGGTACGGCCTAGCAAAAATCCTCAGCTGAGAGGCCGCCCATAAGGAGGCTTAAAACAGTAATGGACCTCCACTACTTAGTTATCTAACTAACGAGCCTAGCCAATAATAGACCATCACCTAAAAACGAACAGGCCTGTTTGAGAGCTCTCAAAGCTTAGTTCCCCTTTTTCATAGAAAAACTTGTTATCCTAAAAAGAAAAATAAAAACGCATCTACATGTCATACAAGTAAGACACAGAAAATAACACATTCAAACAAAGAAACAAATCAATTTTTTAAAAAAAAACTAGAGCCACCTTTCCCAGTACAAACCAGAAAAAGATGGCTGCAAATGGAGAGGAGCCTCCTCCTGTCGGAGACCCAGCGATGTTCGATCCACCACCGATGGAGCCAGGAGGCGAACAAGGAGGAGCTGGTGGAGTACCGGCACAAGCCGACGGTGCACCAGCTGGAGATGGAGGTGCACCAGCAGACGCTGGAGCCGGAGGAGCACCAGCAGGAGGCGCAATCCCAGGTGCGGAACCTCCAGGTGGAGCGCCAGAACTGCCACCAGTACTGCCAGTAGGCATGCCACCACTGGGGGGACAACCAGTGCATCTAGGTGGAGCTCCACCACAACCAGCACCGTTAGGACCACTTATCCCGGGCGCTGCCCCGCCGCAGTTTCCGCCGCTCGGACCGCCGCACCCGCTGCCGAACGTAATACAAAACACCACCGATGACGAGATCCCGGACCATGCAAAGCAATGGGTACGGGACTTACGAGCTGAACTTGCCGACCACGATACGACAGCACTCCGACGATTAGGCCTCCAACAGCTGTTGGGGGCGATGGTCATGAACATCGTGATCCAACAATTCGAGCAGATTGCAGACGAACACATGTTCATCCAGCTCGCAGGCGCGAGAGACGAACAAAATCGGCCAATCTCAGCGTTCTCACAAGCGCGAATCGCGGCAGTGGTGCTAACGGCCAAGTTGGCTGCGCAAAACCAAGCAGACATCTCACCCTACGGCGTGATGATCTCCAACGCGCAGATGGACAACGTCTGCAACGTCCTCGGCGTTAACAGACAAGGCACAAAAATGGCCCGGTGGGGCAGAGTCGAGCAGCACATACACGCCCTACAGCAGACAAATCAAACGTTCGACTTCAATGCTAACTTCGCCCCGAATGTCGCAGTGGTGTACACCGACGGCAGCAATCAACATCTTGCAGTGGCGAACCCACCACCACCTGTAGCACCAGCAGCCAACGCAGGTGCAGCTGCACCTGCTTGGCAACAACAACCAGCACAACAACAGCTACAACTTGGCCAACTACAACAACTGCTCGCCCAGCTGGGCTTGACACCAGAAGTCAGAGCAGCAACTATTGCTCAAGCCGCAAACGCCATGAGCAACCAAACGGTACAGCCTTACGGCGGTGGTGGCCCAGTGAACATCGTCCACTCCCCCTACAGCCAGGCGCTGATGCCAGACGACCAAATTGCCTGGGTTCGCATCTACACGGGAGATGGATGGAACCACTACTGGCACGACATTCAACAAGAAGCCGCCTTTGCACCGGTATGGCGCGGCTCAGCGCAGCATCCGCTGATGGTGCCATTAGACGACTTCAAAAACAACATGCGTCTAATGGGCATTGATGAGAGCGGCAAACTCATCGAAGGCAACTTGCAACGCATCGCCGACAACCTATACGTGCATCCGGAATCGCATGCCTACAAAGCCATCGAGAAGCTACCACAAGACGAGCGCCGACAATGGAGAAGACTTTTGGCGACACTACTGGTAAATGGTATAATGTCAGAGACCGACTTGGCTGAGTTCGCAGCCTCCTGGCGCACCAAGGGCATAGCCGCCTTGGGCGACTGCGCCGCGAACGCAGGAGTTGCCCGACCGATAGTCAAGCACGCACACCAAAACCTTGGGTGGATCTCCACCCTTACCATGACCAATTCCATTACGGACAAACACAGCTTCGAGCACATTGTGCGCACTTTGGTCAAGGAAAAAGTGGAGCGCTTGGTGCCGGGCATGCCCATTAGTCAGAACGAGTCGTACAACATGACATGCATTTTCATGTTGGTGCGAAATTGCAAGGTACGCATGTACGAATCCTCTAAAGAGGCCGTCCTATTCACGTCGCCAGTGAACGCAAACAGCGACGGGAATGCCTTTGGTGCACTAGTGCGGGCCTCGGTAGCTATCGAGGAATACCCCACTGTGTACGCTGCAGAGGAAGCCATGGTAAACCTGCGCCCGAAAACAGGTTCAGTAACTCTGGCCGACTTTTGTCTCCACCTGCTGCCTACAGCGCTGTACATGGTGTTTGATACTACGCCGCCGAGCTTAGCAATCGGCGCGCCAACGTCTTCGGACCAACGGTCATTGCTCTACGTGATGACACACGGCTGGAACCTCCTCCTTTCACTCATCGGCGGTCGAAGACAATACTTCGCAGAAAACTTCACAGCCTACGGCGGCGAAAGAAAAATGCCATCGGTCAACCAGCCGCTCCACTACGTCGACGAAAATATGCGACCGGACTCAGCGCGCGACGGCATGGACCCGGACCCGTCAGCCGGCCCAAGCACAACAGGCCAAGGCGGCAACAGAGGAGGTAGTAGTAGCGGCAACGGTGGTGGCAGACAAAAGCAAACAAAAGGTGTTCCGTCACCTCTGCGTCTCAGTGCAGCTGCACTGAAACGACAGATAAAAAACGACACCGCCGACAGCGTAAAAAAGCGTCCCTTCATCGCGCGCGTGAAAGCCGCGTTCAAAAATGGAATCGCTTTCACAGTGACAAACGATATCGCAGAAAGCCCGATCCTGGACAACACCACGCTGCCAAACGGCATCTGCAGGAATTTCGCTTTCGCCAGATGCACGGGAGCCAAAGCACGAAAGTGCAACCTCATGCACGAGATCCCGAAGCAATACCAACGTGCTACTACGTGGCAACACGTGCTGGAGCTCCAGCTACGTGCAGCCAGTGGCCAAACAGTCAATTGCCCACAGAACTGGACACAAATTCCAGAGGAAGCCGACACAGAGGAAGACGCAGATTCCGACGACGGTAACGGCGGTGGAGGTAGCAGTGGAAAGAAGTCCACGCCACCAAAAAAGAAAGCACGTGTAGACAAGAAGAAGAAGAAAAACTAAGCAGGCTTACATTTTTGAATTTTTCAAACAATTTAAAAGATAAAGAAGAAAATATGTAATTCTCACAAAACCACTAGCCTAAGGCGCAGCTGCACCTCGGCGCCTTGCAACCTACGACTTGTAAAACTAGGAAAAGAAAGATGGAACCAACCATACAAGACTACTTTAAAAAAGTACAGCACGCTACTTTTCTATAATATATAAGCCGCATATGGACATCATAACGCACTGCACTAAAAAATACAAAAAACCCAAAAAACAAAAAGCCATAAAATAAAAATTTAAAAAATGGTCTACTCTGGAGTAGACGAAACAAACATCAAGCGCCAACTGGTGCTAGCGCATTTCTGTGCCACTGCGAAGCAGTGCCCCTTGCCAACATCTGGTGTTCGTGAGCTACACGACCGGGCCTCAGGCGCAGCGGCGTCTGAAGCGGCAAATCTACAGCAGAGCTCTGCTGGCACTAAGTAAACAAGCACAATGTCTGCAGCAGCACGACAATCTGATCTACTAGTACTAATTTGTAGGCTAAGAAAAAAGAAATCACGAGAGAAAAAAGAAATCGAGAGAAAAAGTCATGCCGTCGTTTGCGTCCCTTGCTGCAGCACGAGCAACAGCTGTTGCTGCACAATCAGCAGCTACAACGGGCATGCTCCGCCCACAATCACGAGAGGAAGCAGTGCAACAACAACATCGCTCCGCAGCAGCCAGAATGCACCTACCACGCAACGGAAAGACCACAGCACGACAAGCAATTCCCATGCAAACGCAGCCGCGAAACGAGAGCACAACCACATCACACAGCGCCCAACTAGGCGGCAACGGTAGGGTAGCTGCAGCTGCAGCTACCCCACCAACCACGACCCTGATCCAGGACAAGAAATTTCTGGATTTCAACGGCCAGCGAAAACAAGCCTTCGATAGGCAAACAAACCCAGACGAGAGGAAGCTACTGCGCCTAGCAAAGGAGCACACCACGCTCACAAAAAACGCAGAAGAATAAGAGCGCTTCAGAGAGTGGCTAGCGACGCGACACGAACCGCCAGTACCCATAAGCCAGAAAATCGGGAACACGCAACTCAAGCTCTACTGCCTCTACATGTCAGACTCAGAACGTGTCGGCACAGCTGTGCTCGAAGCATTCAAGTCTATATCCAAATAAATCACATCACCACCGCTGGAACACAACGGACACCAGCAGCAACTACTAATCGACGACCATACAGGCATGGCACCGAAAGTCTTCGCCGAAGCAGAGGAGGACGAGCGCCGCGCACTCAGTAAAAACCCGGACCAAAAGGCAACACCTCTCCTACTCGACGAGAAAGTCGAGCTCCTCTCGGTCAATGCCAAAGCGATGTTGGCCTTGTGGGTCGCTATGGGCGTACGAGGAGCCACCATAAAGAAGATGCGCCAACAAGATGTATGGCGTGACGAGCAACAGCAGCTGCTGTTCGCTCAGGTGGTAGCAGACAAAATCTATGGAGTGCAAGGCCGAGTCATCTCAGTGAGCTGCAACTGTGGCACCAAACCAGGTTACCCTCTCTGCGTACACCATGGAAATAAGGGCGGGCCCTTCGACTACACCCATGAAATGGTCACAAACAGGGACACGGTGACGGAGCTCCTCACCCATCTCTGCATCTCAGAACACAGCATACGCAGAGCGGTCGCGCTATCAGCAAGACGCATGATTGAGGACCAGCACCATACCAATCTAACTATCTTCCTGTACAACAGAGGATGGGTACGGCCGAGCACGTTCCAAGACTATGCGATAGACCTAGAGGACTACCGCCAAGTCCAACATCGCTTACCAAACGTGTATGGAATATGGGAACCACAGCTCGACGATGGACCGAACACGAGTCACAACTTCAAGTTCCGGGACCGCAAACAGCAACTGCTGCAAGAGGCGGCAGTAAGCAACTTCAAAAAACCACTGCAGCTGCAGCAAGCACACAACACTGCCCAAGCCGCGACTGCGACCACGACACTAAAATGCACAGCGGCAGCTGCCGCTGTGCCCACAGTCTCCAAAGCACAAGCACTTTCAAGAGGTAAACCGGGCAAAGTTCACAAATTAGCCGCGGGAAAGCTTTTCCCGGTTAATAGCGTCAAGACCACGGTAGCAAAACGGGAACAGAAAACCGTAGAGGAACTCAAAGGAGCAGCACAGCCAAACACCAGCGGAGGAAAAACCGGCAAGGAATGGGACAAACTGCCCAACCAGTACCGCGAAAACCTCATCCTAGGAAAAGTCCGCCTGTCACAGAAGCATGCGCACAAAGTAGCCGCAGAACGACAGAAACGTGGACTGCCACCGCTCGAGAACGCGCAATAAATGCGTCGAACACAGATGGCACAACAGGAACGACGTCAGACACACATGGCGGTAAGCGGGTTCTCTCGCAACGGCGAGAGGGCTCCAGCTCGGACGCTCCGAGCTTCACCCCATACTCATACAGGGCGATCGGGCGCGCATCTGCGTGACCCGACCCCGCTGTTGCTCCACACCTAACTCAGCCAGAGCTAGGTATGAGCGCTCCACAGGAGTAAACAGTCAGTTGCGATTGACTGCGTGCAGCGAACGTATGGTCTATGTGCATAAGTTCCAGTTCATCCTGCGCAGCAGCTGCTGCGGCAACGAATACAAATAAGAAGGATCAGGGATCCGGCGCAGCAAATTATGTGTGTTCGCATCGGTGCATGATCAAGGATCAGAGTGAACAGTGAGAGCTGAGTACTCTTTTTAGCATATGAATTCATTGATTCATAATTCATTCTTGACGAACCACGTGACAACCTAAGCTGCCCCAGAAACAGAATGAGTACTAACATAATGCCTAAGTACTAACATGATAATAAATCCATAACTCAATCTCGGAGTGGTTCCAAGCATATTGATATTCAAATTGCTGAGGCTAGCAGTACGACTACGACTGTCGGCAAGCTCACGCGGAGACGTCCGCGACGACAATGACATATTACTGGCGTGGTCAAGACTTTTAGAGGTGAAAGTAGACATAATGCTAGCGTACGTGGTCAAGATTTCTAGGAGGTGAGCGACATTATGAAATGCTAGCGTGCGTCCTGGTTAAGAGTTCTAGGAGGTCGGTGAAAGACATAATGCTAGCGTACGTGCTGGTTAACAGTTCTAGGAGGTGAAAGAGGTAGGCCTAGGGTCGCGCTGGTCATAGTTATCTTGCACCTTGATGATGGCGTTAGTCACATCGAGTTGGACCTACGAGTACGACTTCCCTCGGATTGGAGGACCTACGATTTCATCCCTGGTGGATCTTTGGTGCAAACAAACACAAAGAACTCAAACATCAGCTAGCACTACTAAACTTTATCCTTAAGAACTTGTTGTTGCCCCACTGCTTGACTGGTCGAGGCGGGACCGCCCTTAAGCGATATTCTGGCAGCGAACCAGGCATTGCCAACCCGATAGACACCACGAGGACTCAACTCAGTGCCAGAGCCACTGACGCCTGAGCCGCTCATTCCCGACATCGATCTACTACGCGCCGAAGAGCAAGACGACGTGAGCTGCAATCCCAGAAGCCCTGTGGACGCAGCTCCCTGTTCTAGCAGCGTCGAAGGAGGCAAAGTCGTGGATAATGTCGCTGCTGCATTTCCAAAGCCAACATTGTCATTGACAACCATATTGTTACTATTGTAAGTGGATGCACGACCACACATCGTCGAGGTAGCCGTTGTACTAGCAGATGATGTTACGACAGCAGTAGGCGCTGTAGGACCTGTAGTAACTCCTGTTTGTTCTAAAGCGATTGCAGTAGGAGTGGCTATTCCTCCGTTCTGAGATTGAGGCTCGACTTTCACCCCAGACGTGTTTTGCGAGGACATGAAAGGGGAAACCATAATTAAGCAGAGGCATGGGGTGAGAGAGAAAACAGAGAATGGAGAAGATGAGAGAAAACAGATGAAAGTCTTATTCAGGATTTTTAGATTCGGAACTGGTACTAGTAAGTTCTCGGTAGGTTAATTAGGTTGGCGCCCATTATCTACGACACACACAGACAGCATGGATGCGGATGATCATGATGTTGATAAATAATCATGTTGTCGAGGATCTAACTCCTTATCATAAAGAAAGACAAACTAGCTCGTGATGTCAAACTTACTAAGCCATTATCATAAGAGAAGGTAAAGGTAAAGTAGCTCGTGATGTCAAACTAAGCCATTATCATAAGAGAAGGTAAAGTAGCTCGTGATGTCAAACTAAGCCATTATCATAAGAGAAGGTAAACTAGCTCGTGATGTCAAACTAAGCCATTATCATAAGAGAAGGTAAACTAGCTCGTCGTTCCCAAACACCTCCACCACCTTCCTTCGATGCCGATGGCTGCATAGAAATGCCATTCTCTACCGTTCCACCGCCAGCCAGACGAGGTGAAAATCCCCACATCCTGTTATTATTTGCCGCTCCAGCTCCACCGTTTACGGAATGGTATGAAAAATGTGAATGTGATGTATTGCTTATGTGAGGAGGTGACGCCACCATTCTTACGAAGAAGTAGTTTTAGGTCTTCAACATTTCGTATCACCATACTTTTCTAGACCATTTCGTATCAACATACTTTTCTTCGATACTCTGGGTCTCTTTCTCTGGAATCATAACAGATGGCCACGTGCATTTCCCGCGATCGGTGGCGGACCGCCAGGCAGGCTGAAACGTGAGGACATTATTGTTTAGCGATGCTAAGAACGCTGGTGGGAATAGTTGAGAACTAAATTACCAGCCAAAGGAATGACATCAACCGTTGGAGCATTCATAGATACTGCCGAAAATAATGATCATGTTCATTATCCAGTATTAGGGCGAAGCTAAGTAGTACCGCGTTGTCGCAGGGTTTACTTCATCCTTAATCCTCTTGCATCTCTTTCAAATATGAATTTTCAATATAAGGGTCAATGTTGTTCTGCACACTAGTACTTTCTGATTGGTTGTTCTCTCAACATGGTGCCGGATTTGACAGATGCTGTTCTCGCTGGACACGTTTTGTCAGCTCACTGGCACAACTATAAATTTATCAATGGCAGAGGTAAAAGTGCTCCAGCTTTCGGAACCACTGGCCTTCTCCTTCTTGTAGTTCAACCTTAACACATCAGACTCCTGGTCTTTGTAGTTATTGTCTTCTTCCACTTGTCAGTAGTCCCAGCAATAAATCAGAATGAATGAATCTGACGAGTCATCCTGTAAAAAGTGCTGTTCTCAAGCTTCTTTTAAAAATTGATAGCGATCAGAAGTCGTACTCCGCATCTTCAACCCGTCAATCCTAGTGCAAACGTGAAATATTTTTCCTTGTAAAAAAGTTTGTTTTTTTCTTTGCTTTGCTATTTCTAGACAGGAGAGAACAACAACGAGTTGGACTTGGAAGTGGAACAGATTGATGATAAGATCAAACGAGTTTTATCGTTTTTACGAACACGAAGCAGATCTGAATCTGATGAATAATCAATATGACTTTAGTTTTGATGTATTTTGCTGTAAAACAAAACTCTGACTTCTGTAGGAATTTCACAAACGTAGAGATGCATAACTGCTAAGATTGTGGACAGTGTCCGAAATTGTACAAATTGATAACTTTCATCTGTCCCTGTCCCACTGTAGTTGTTGTAACAATTCTGTATACCTAATAGAAGAACTTCGTGACTGTACTGCTCATCAGCATCACATGAAACAACTTTCAGCATTTTCCGTTTGAAACGCGCAATCGTGACATCGATCGCAACGTAAAAAAATAATTTCTTTCATGCTTTCTACACAATCTTCTGCCGAAAACGATAATCCTAGAGCTCTGCCAACAATTCGTCATCCCTGTGGAATATGGAATGCTAGCAGAGTAAAAAGCCTCGTGCAGACAACCTGTAGTTGTAGTCAGAAGGGTGGAAGAACTTATTTGGTTGAAGATGTCAGATGAAAGTGACAAACTTTTCTGCGCGTAGCAAGGACATCACGCAAATTGGCTTCGATTTGTTGAAAAATAAATGCTGAGGTACCTGTTCATCTCGACCGATCTGGAGAAAATAGGCCTTCCGTACGTACAACTTGATGAAGATGTTGACTGCTGCAATCGAATAGAGTTGAACCCAAAAACTCATCGTTATTTCACACTGGATTATGTGACACCAAGCGCCGGGCAGTGTTCCGTCAAGTCGTAATGTACCTGGTTGGTATGAATCAGAAGTCTGTAATTGATCTACTTTGAATAACACAAAAGCCTCCTCGTCTCCCTCCGAATTGAGAAAAAATTGCCGAGGGCGAGGAGGATGATGATGATATTGATAAAGATGCAAACGATCCATCGGCGAACTCGTAGCGGTTGCTGTCTGTGAACGCTAGGACTGCTTTTCTTCACCCTCAAGGTGACGCGTTCTTTATATAATTCCCGGCCTGTTTCATTTGCGCAAACCGTGAAGGTTTTGCATGATTCTCATGCGGTTGCAAAGTCTTCAAATGTGTGGACCTTCTTGCTCATAAGTAACACGATAAGGACCCACATCATTGGCGTGGCATTTCAGTGCTGTGATCTTTGTCGCCATAGGATTGCAATGACCTCCATCACGTTCATGCTGATGACATACCCATACGACTAGGATCATCACCTTCTTCATCTTCTTACCATTTTAATATTTGCTAAACGGGGGAACTGGATCACATCCCCCTTTAATCTATCCTCCATCTAATGAATGGCGTGTAGATTACAATAATCATAGCGGTGGCAAGTTCGACTATATTCCAGCGACTGAATACAATACGGAAAAAACGCGATCCGCGTTATGGTTGAATATTAGTGATTTTTGTTGCGTGATATTTGTTGGACCACAAGAGCACAAGCCTCCGCGCCTTGGTTCGTTTCTCAGTGGAAACACAAAGCCAGAATCTTGAACGCAAGCAAATCTTGACACTCCTGCCTGAGACTTGCGATCTCTGGTTGGTGTAGTCCCTGTTTGGCGCATCCATTGGGTGAGATGAATCATACATCATCAGCATAAGCATGTCAGAAGGGATCGGACTGAACATGCACCACACGACTAGGATCAGCACGACCGTGCCTAGTCTACACCTTGATCATTATGATTATGCATTGAATGTGCATTGAGTGTGCATTGGAAGTAGCATTCATGATCATTGACATTCGTGTCTTGTGAGATCATCCCGATGACAGTCGAGCGCGAGGCTTTTTGTGAGCCACTGAGAAGAGAACGCCACGACATCCGAGAGGCTTGAACCATACATGACCAACGCCCCTCCTCAATCGATGCGGGTCGAAGTCCGTCTCACGTGACCGCCTCACTGTGTGTTGAGTCACGGCAATCACATCTCTTGTTTAGTGTATGTGACCTGGCTACGGTGGTTTAGAAACCAAAATAAACCGAATATATTGCGCTATAGTAAGCTAAACCATCCCCATCTGTTTCATCATCAGAGGAATCACAGTCGTCTTCTTTACTTGTAGTTATCGGATTATCTACGTGGTGTAGGATAAGTCTACGCTGAGTGGCACTGCAGGTTAGTTTCGAAAGTGGGTCTGCCTTCATGAGGTTGGTAGGACAGAGCACGATCTTACTAGCAGCGTCGCGCACTCTTAGATAACGTAAAGCATAGTGTCTACTTTTAGGGCGAGCGTCTGTTGCTTTGGCTGTTGTGGTCGCAGACTGGTTGTCTATCCACAATACAGCACTGCCTAAGGAGGGAGACAAGCCGTCCTGTGTGTGTACCAACTGGGTTCGAAGAGGCTTATAGAAGTCTGCGAAGTCATGCATCTCACTGAGCACTATCGTGTCAGAAGCTGCAATATACTCACTCTCAGCCGTTGGGTAGGCTCTGACCGTTTGTCGGTTACTCCTCCACGCTATGGGTGTACCTTTGTAATACATTACGGAGCCACTTGCGCTTCTCATTGTTTTGATGCAGTTGGCGAAACCAGCATCACTGAATATGTTTACTTCTGGCATGTCTCTGCCTTCTGGTAGAAGTTTCTCGTGTATTTTGTTGAATTCTTCTTCCTTTTAATTTCTGGCGAGTATTCTACTCCTTGGCCTTTTGTTGACGCCAGGCATTTTGGGACTTTCTTGGCTGCTTTGGCCATTCTTGTTGACGTGGGTTTACTGACATGTCTCGCCAACGCTGCTACCGGAGCAGAGATATCCGGGCGCGCGGTTACAGCTACCCATAGTAAGGCACCAACTACCTCACGAAAGGGATACCCATCAACTATCTTGGTCCCGTCTTCAAGAAAAGTCGTTTCGTCAAAATTGGGCGAGTAAACCGGTTCCCTAGTTGAGCTTCATACTTATTAGCAATTTTATCGATGTACTGCTCCATGCACAGTCTGAACGACTTAGCTTCACGGCCATAGTACACGATCGCGCCTAAGAAGTCGAACTTTAGCCATTCGAGACCCCAGGGGGTTAGAATTGGCTCGACTTCAATCGCACGGCCTGGAGCACGTGCGAAAATGAGGTCTAGTTCGGTCTTGGGCTCATCTTGGTGAGGGCCTGTAGCACGATTGTCATCTACATAGACAGACATCTTCAGGAACTTCCCCGGTGCTTTGCTGCTCGGTTTGCGCCACAATCCAGGCGCAGAAGTACACGGCTCCCAACCAAGACTGGCCAGAATCTCGCGATACCTCTTGAACCATGCTCGTGGTGCGTCCTTCAAGCCGTATAGAGCTTTCTTGAGCTTCACGATCTCGCATCCATGCTGTTTCGCCCAGATGGGTGGAAGACGACAATAGACATCTCGATCGAGTTCAGCATTGAGGAACTCTGAATCTAAACCGAACGGGATCACATAGTCCCCCGCTGACGCAGCAGAAGTGAGGAGCAACCTATTAGCGGCATGTGATACCACGGGAGCAAAGGTGTTTAGCTCTCCCGAACGATCTAAGTTACCGAGTGCACAGGCTCTTGCCTTGTATTTTCCACATCTCTTTCTTGTTAGTATGATGGCAATTGGTAGAGCCCGCAACGCGGTTGCTAGCTGCTCGCCAGTAGCTTCTTCCCACGTTTTAAAGGCTAGTAGTCTCGCATGCTCAATGTCAGCGACTTCCTTCCACTTTTCAGCTTCAGGACTCTTTAATTCATTGGCAACGGACAGCATCACACGCGATTCGACGACTTCCTCATCTTCGTCTATCTCACACGCGCCACCAATAGCACTTGCGAACAGCGCCAAACTCTTTCTGAGTTCTTCCATCTGTTTCTTTGTTCTACGAGTCCTTCCTCCAGCCTTGTCCTTGGCTCCTTTCGGTCGGCCACGCTTCTTGCCGTGTGTATGGCGTTCGCCTGCCACAACACGCGCGGGAGATAGCGCTTTCGATCTAGTCGGACTAGGTGAGTCAGAGATCCGATCCTTCGTTTCAACTTTCCCCTCCTCAAGTGAAACACCTTCAGAAGAGTCAGCCACGTCGGATTCAGCCTTCTTGTCTAAGGTTTCAACGTATAGTTCTCCGGGAATGCCGGTCGGGCCACCTGAGGCGCGCTTCGTGCCAGAGAACCCCGATTGCTGGCCCAGCCTTTGCACTGACTGCCCAATCAAGGGGGAGCCCAGCGACGACGCTCCACACTGCAAGTTCTCCAGTTCATCGCACTCATAGTAAAAGCCCTTTCTATCTGGCGTTAGCCAGTCTATGTCCTTTATTAGATAATCCTCTCTGAACTTGACATCTAGGGTAGAGTATTCCGCCCATCGATATCCAAGCTTGCAACGATCGTCATGAGCGAAAGTAGCAACCAACCAACCAGACGACTTCGGACAGAGTCCAAGGAAGACGCCACGGCGATATTTGGCCGAGAGCTTGGGTTCAGGAGTGTTGGCTTGAATTTGTTCACGAAAGTAAACAAGACAACCAAATCGGCGGAGCGTGCCGATTTTGCTTTTGGAAGAATTTCCACCAGTTCTTTCTTCTAGAATCTCTATTGGACTCTTTCCGTCGTGTTCTGGCATTTTAGCGCAATTATGCGGAAGACGATCCCAGCAGTCACTAGCGTACTCAACACAGTAACACCAAAGACGTCGATCAACCTTCGTTAGCATTGTTCTCACGCTGCCAAACAGGGCCCGCATAAAACGCCCAACAGTCCCACTCATTTCCGGACTATAAGGAACAGCCGGACTGTCTGAGACCCGCAGCGATTGCATGAGTTTGGTCATGTCATCACTACCGAGGACTGGTTCTCCATCCCTCCGGATGATTGAACCATACTGCCTTGTCATCTAGGGATAAGGAGTAGTCCTGTCGAATGCCTTTTATGACTTGTTCTATTTCCTCCACGCAGTCACTTTTAAGCTTCAGCGGTCGACAATCAAAGCGCCTTCTTAATTACGTCACATATGACAACTAGAACACATCTCATAGATCTTACTGAAACAGGTTTTATTCCTACAGCAAAGTCTATCGCAAGTAGTTTAAGGGGTTCGGGTTTGTAGGTGGTCACGTCTCTAGATTTTGCATGGGATTTTCGTTGTCCTTTATGTAGGTCACATTCTGGGCAACTAACTTGTAGTCCATCTATGTGAAAGTGGCCACATCTCCTGTGTAGTTCTAATCTCGTAAGATAGCAACTAGAGACGCCTTCTTCTATTGATGTACAAGTGAGACCACTTTCATGCTTGTTGTCAAAGAAACTACATGCGAGCACGGGTAGCTGCAAGCGTGGGTGAGCTCTGATGGGTAGCATCTGGCCGGTGTCCGTGTGTACGATACAACCGCCAGCGCCTTTGAAGTTGAACTCCCACCCTAATTGCGAGCAGTTTCCGTCTCCTAACCATGGTAGTGCGCGATCTATGTTTCCAGGTAGAGAATCATAGTAAACTCCATTCTTTAGCCCAAGCATGTTGTTCTTGAGTTTTCCGATTTTTCCGTCTTTAGTGCCTGCGCTTATGGCGAGCTTAAATAATTATTTCCGGGTTAAATTAAAAATTGACTTTGAATAATTTCTAGCTAGTTAACTAGCTAGTTAAACTGAGAGCTAGTGGCCAGCAGCGTCGGAAAGGTGGCGACTTGGGCGCCATGGCGGACTCCTGACGGCTTGCCGTGTCAATCGGAGACTCGCGCTGATCGGTGGCGCGGCATGGCCTTTCCAGCCCGGCAGATAGCGCTATTTTTCGCCAGCTTGTGCCGTGGCCTCGTGTCGGAACGGCAGCAAAAGCTTCGGAAGGGTCCGCTGGCCATGTTCTTTTATGAGAGTGCTCTACGCTAACCCTAAGGCCTAGCACAGAAACGAGCCTACTCAGTTCACCTACCTTTCTATGAGCTACAAAAAGACGAGGATGATTGGACTAAGAACGAGAGACGAGAAAGTAGGGGCCTTTACTCAATTAACGAGGGGGGAAAAACTGCCCGATCTGCTGACTCATTGGAATGACTGCGTTCAAAGAGAGACGGCGCCAAATGGTAGAGCCTGATAGACTACAAACAACACTAGACTGACAATATACCTCGTTCTCATTCCTCAAACCATCACTACAGAGGGGGTTCTCTAATAACCTGGCCCGATCCCATTGTTTCTCTTTTCATTTTTGGATCTCACTATGGGAACACGTCCAAGGCAAGTGGAGGCAGAGTGCCGCCGCGCATTTGAATCGATACTACGCAGGCGGTTCGAGATCTTAAACACTCCAGAGTGCGCTAGTGATTTTGCGATAAAGCCGAGCATTCAGAACAACATGGAGAAGCAAGGCTATTCTAGTGCGAGATGGCTGCAGATCCAATTCAAGGGAACTTCTTGCAAGAACGCTCAATGGTATCGAAAAATGCGGCACATCTTGACGAGCAGACGCAAAGATCTCCACGGCTTCGTTGTAGTGGGGTTTTGCCCTGAAGAAGAAGCAAGCATCTTCGCTATGAATGTGCATAAGGCTGCAGACTACAGCAAGACGAACCTCGAATCTCAAGACCACAACTTCAACCCCAAAGACCTGCTCCAGTTTTTACTTAGTAGCTACGAAGACGGCCTCGGGGTGTCGGAGGTCCTCGTCAATACTACGTCGGCATACTCTGCTGCGACACTGGCTGAGAAGCAAGCCCGAAGCTTCTTTTGCAAGCAGATCGAGGATAGCGAGCTGGTCTACTTCTTGGCCGCTGCAGAGTTTGAGACGGTTGACGGAACTCTCCAACATATCGACAACCCACACCAAAAGCACCGCATCCAAGAGAAACCGCTGGTGCAACGCTTCCGCAACAACGAGCCGCAAGCGCTTCGGGTGTCACTTCGCCGGTAACGACATAGCTCTGACGATTTTTTCTTTCAATGCACTATATGCCAACTAGCTTAAGGTACTGAAAAGCGAATAGCGACGACCTCTGAAAAGTAATGCTATATCTCCTTCATCTTTTTAGGGCCAGCGGACAAGGATATAGAAGAGGGGACTTCGATTTTCTTCTATTGCATGCCCGGAACGAGCTAGGGGGCAGTAATGGAAGTGACCTTACTCTGCACGGCAGTGCCCTTATCCCGGTTAGGGTCTTGGTTAACGAGGGCTTTGTCGCTCCGGACGAGGGGTGCTGCTCTATCTCAAAAAAGGCGCTTCATCTCTTATCCGATAACACCGACTAGAATCCTACCGATTGACTCAGTGCTCCACTTGAACCGATAGAGTTTCAGAATGTGTAGCGCCACCCGCTGAGCCAGCCTTTTCCAATAGATCAACAACCCTCTGTCATCCACTCCAGCGGGACCTGCAAAAAGATGCTCTACTTATATCCGCCGGCGCCTGGAGTGAAATACGCCAGGCTAACTAGGTCCCTCGAGCAGTTTTACGTTGAGTGTGGAGCTGATTACGCAAAGGAACTGGCAAGAATTATCGAATGTGAGTTCGCAGCTGCATTTCAGTCCAGTGAGTCGCTATCTGCAGGGTCAAGCATGGGAGTCTAGGGCAAAGCATTGTGCACGACAGCGCGCATAATAAGGCTTCAACTATATTAACGATAAGAAAGTAGGCACTTGTTGAATGAGTAAGAGTGTAGCTGTTTATGAATGTGCAAAATATAGCCAAGACAGTGACACGCTGGAAAATACTAGCAGAGCCGACGACGATAAGATGTCGCGCGGAAAAATATGAAGACGGTCGCCCCATGATCTACTGCGTGTTCAAAATTACTAGTATAGGAGGGCAACGAGGTAAATAATTGAATACGAGAAACAATAAGTTTATGCTTTTACTGGTTGAAAGTTGTATATCAAACTACAAAGAGACCACAGAACTACGTGGCAAATCACGAGAAGACACCATGCAAAACCTGACGGAAGATAAAGCTTTCACATCGAAAATGATTTTAAAGAAATGGGAACGCTAAATGGGTGCTGCTATGACGTACTACTATGGCGACCAACTACTAGACTACTTCTTTTCCCCCGCTTTTTTCATTGGTTTACTGGCGGCTGCAGTAGTCGCTTTCTTCATGGATGATTTCGCTACAGTTTTACTCCCTGCCCCTGAAGACGAAGATGCACCAACACCACCAACGCCTTCCACTTCCGCAGCCTCTGCAGCCGCTTTTTCTCTGGCTGCGACCTGCGCCTGCAGTCTCGTGTCCGTTAAGACAGCGAAAGCACTCGAAGGAATAGGAACTTCTAAATATTTTGTACCTAAAGCGTGACCTTCTTGTTCTACAACTCTGTACAGTTTAACACTACCTTCTTCAAGTTTTTTCTCAAATACAACGTACTGCACTAATTGTTCTGCAACCTTCTTATCTACATCCCCCGTTGCTGGCACTTCCGGCGCGAGTTTAACCAGCCGCGGGTAAAAATCTGCAGTCTCCCAGTGGATTCGAACCTTGTCGGGGAGTTTTCCTCCAGCCACGCGGTGCGAGCGGAAAAACGCAACAGGTTTGGACGGTAGTAGTTGATTTGGCTGCTCCTTTGGTTTTAGCTCGTATCTGTACCCTGGCTTGTAACGCTGAAGCCCTTCTTCATGAGGAGCGTACTCGCGAAGCTCGCTCTCAGCAAAGCGCCCACAAGAAGCAGTGTTTGCAAGGATGTGCCGACGCTTTGCTTCAGGCGACAACGAATGGAGCCCGCCTTTGGAGATGACCCGCTTTGCAGGAGTTGCGAGCTCATTGATCATCTGCTCGAAGTCCGGGCCAATTGCGCCCTTGTTCATGTTCTTCAAGATGTTGAGTCGCTCCTTCACCGAAAGAGCAGCGTAGGTTTCCTCACTGACATCAGGATGCTTCCGCATCAGACGACCAAAAGCACCCAGCTGCACATCAACGCCCAACGAGGTAAAGAACGTCTCCGCCAGCGTGTGCGACGAGATCCAACGCTCGTCCTTGAAGCGAAAGCGGAACCCATTTCCATGCCGATCACGAATCTGCTGCACCTCGCCTTCGAATAGGTCCGTCATGGAAACGAGACCAGTGCAGAAATGGCAGTCCTCCAGGCGAACTGGCGCGATGAAGGCATCCTCCATCTCGTTGTAGAAGCACTGATAACCCTGATGCCAGCCCTCCCTCCAGCGAGTCGCCTTTATAACGGCTTGCTCGGCCGATGGCAAACGCATGAACACTGAGTCCTTGGCTTCGAGGCGGCGCTCCTTGACAATGCGGCAGCTGAGCGTCTCGTGGTAAATGCGCTCTGACTGGTCTTCCCAAGTACTAGAAAGGCAGAAGATGAGCTGCGCGCCTCGGAATCCCAATTTATTCGCAGAGTACGAGACGAATCCGCCATCAGCTGCCATATCCTCCACAACGCGCTGCTTCGGGCAGGTGGTTCCATTCTTCCAACGTTGCGCCATCGTTTCTTTCAAGTTGTGCATCATGCCAGTGTAAAACCCGCTGACGCCCTTGGTCTTCACTTCGTCGCTGATGTGCTCATCGATTAAGAATTTCAAGTCCTGAGCGTCCTTGTCTCCGGCAGCACACTCCTGCAAGATCTGATCGTATGCCGCTGGTGTTAGTGGACGGACCTGCTTCAGATCGTCAACTTTCGGGAAGCGGTAGCGCTTGTGCCGGTATGCCGCCTGAAGACGTTGCATGTTTTTAGTCCACATGCTGTTAGAAGAAGATGTCCAGACTTCTTCCAGCAGGTTGCGTTCTTTGAACTGAGCCTCTGCCTCTTTTTCATAAAGAGGCTGAGTTTTGACCCTTCGCCTGCAGTACTCCACGATGAGACCGAACTTGCCACGCGCCACGCAAGCCAGTCCTCTTTTCGCGGTTATCGTCAAGCTGTAAGGAAGAAGCTTCTCGATAAAGTTCAAGCGGTCCGGCGCGATGTTGAGATGCCCGTGCGAGATGCTCTCCAAAATGCCAAATTGCGGATCATAGACGTCGAAGAAGTAATTATTTACTATGTTGGCCAAAATGCCGCCGCAACGCTGGAGGTGCAGGTCAGACTTCGATGTCATTTTGACGATGTCAGTAAAGAGCAACTTCCAGATGTTCCTCCTGTTCTTTGATAGCCTCAACTGAACCACCGGCGTTGAAAGATTGGCATCCGCAGGAATGTCGTTGCCGAGGAACTTCCGGGCGAGGTGCAGCAGAGCCCTGTCACTTTTCAGAGGTGCGTCAAAAGTACTACTAGCAGTCAACGACTCGAGCAACTTGTAGAGCCCATGATGCGGCATCGTCAAGTCAACGACTACGTCGTAGTACTCCGGTTTTATCTTTGCCAGCATCGAGTCGTAGTCTGAGGCATAGCCTACCCAGCCTCTTGGTGCAGGTCGTTCATCGTCCTCACTATCAGAATCAACCCGCACTACTGCTGGGGCTTCTACTAGCTCTTGACGCGCGCCTCCTTTCTTCTCCGACTCTTCGTATTCGCGAATCACGTTGAGGATAAAGCGGCATCGCCAATGTTCTCCTTGCATCGCCTTGGCGAACTGGAAATCCCTGAACCACCTCGCGTTCGTTCCGTGCACGATCTCGAAAGCTGCAAGTTATGGGTTGGCGAAGGAGTAGATGACGGGCGAGAAGTATAGAAAAACGTCCCAAGTAAGAGAGACCATCGTGGTGATAGAAAGAGGAAAAGGCTTCATATTTCTTCATAACAGCACTAGAGATCACGGCTATCTAACAAAATCGAACTCCCAAAAGTTCGCAAGTTTTGAAAACTTGCGAAGTCCTGGATTTCTGACCTCAAAAGGAGGTCAAAAAGCTCGAGCCCAAATGATGGACACTAGTCGTTCCTGGAGGTCGTTTTCTTAAATAATTACTTTTTTCAGGGGGGGCCCTTGGGAGACCCTTGAGAAGTCTATATTTAGCGAATCCGCATGGAAGTGCCTACTTTGACTAAAGTCGGCCTATTCTAGTGGGGGGCGCCGTTTCCTTTTTATCAAAAGAACAAGAAAAAATCTAACAAGTACGCTTCTCTAGTGCTTCAGCGACCGAAGTAGCCCGCATCTGCGCAAGCATTCTAGTGGTATAGAGCCGCATCTCTTCGAGCGGTGGACCGCGAGCTTCTTCAAGCAACTCTTGTCGAGCAGTGTAGAACTTCGACTGGTTCTGCCTGCTGCCTCTGGGTCCCATCGAGTAGCGCCTCCATCCACCGGCACCCGTCGAAACTTCATCGAAGATCCCCTTGCAATCATTCGAAAGCCTATGGGCCAGCGGACTACTCCAGGTCCCCGGAAACCATTGAAAGATTGTCTGGACAGCTCTTAACTCCGAAGAGCCTTGGTCTGGCAAACAATGCACCTCCAAAAGCGGTTCCTCCGGATCATCATCGAGTTCACCGAGCAGCTCCCAAGGTTCAAGGTCTATGCTGTCGATTGTGCTACCAACATCCCGCCATATTTGTGAAACCACGCCGGGACCAAAAGCCATGGTGAGGAGCTCCATGTACGCCGCGACTGAATAGCGGGTCGCCTCTCTGGATTTTCGCTCTTTCAAAAAGAGCTGCTCAGCGTCCTGCATTGGAAAAGGACACCAGTGCGTTTCTTCGACCGTCTGAGCGAGATCGTCACCGAAGGAAACGTCGTCGATCCAAAAAAGCTGCAGTTGTTAAGGGGGAGAAAGATTACGTTAAGCGACATAGTAGAAACGAGTATGCTACAGTTGTCATCTCATGGGGGTCACAGTGTTCTACTAGCAGAAAGCAACATTTTCAACGCAGCAAGAAGAAGTCCACAAGTAGAAAACACCAAGAAGAAACCCAGCGCAGGTCTAAATATCTCATAGCGTATACATTTCCACCCCAAACTTTCTTTTTTCTAATCGTCGAAAAGTCGTATCCGAGCCAGTAGGTCGAGTTCACGCTTCCAGCTTGTCGTTGCAGAAAGCTACGGACTAGGTTCAGCTCCATCGAACTGATTCCCTCGCTAAGCCGCAGCACCAGGTAAACCGCAGACCAGGTCGATATGCATTGTTTCTGTTGTTTCCACGGTTGTTCTCGGAGGGTGCGAGGAGTGTAGGAAGGTAATCTATCTCCAGACTCATGAAAAGATGCATCATCATGGAAAAAGATGAAAAGAGACTACTACTAGCAGTTCTAGTTCTTCACCATAAGCGCGGATCCATAGAAAACCTGCAAAGCCAAGGCGCTTTTTTTAGCCGCCGCGTTCGCATTGAGGTGCGACGTCGCCTGCTCGCAGTAACGCTCCATCTCTTTGATTTTGTCGCAGAAGTTGTCGATATCCACGCCTTTGATGATGTGGTAAAACGGTGCAGCACGCGCAACCGCCTCATATTGGTCAGCGTCCTCCGTCAGCCTGCGATACAGCAAGATGGCAACCTGGTATAGAGTGAGGATGTGGCGCAAATACGTTCGGAAGGAGAGGGAGGTCGTTTAAGATAACACGACGAGGCTCCACCCGATGGCAACAGAGCAGCAAATAGATCTACGGCGACAAGTCAAACAGGAGAAGACGTAAGCCCATAAGATACCAAATCAGCAGGAGATCCATCCAATTTCGGAAGAGGCACGATGACGCCGTGGCTTTTGTCGAGGTTCTTCTGTACTTTTGATAGCTGTGACTTCGTATTATTCGCCGACGGTAGCGCCCATTTGAGCTTGAAGCTCACTTCGCCAGTGACTGGATCCACGTTGATGCGATGCCAAGGGACGACATCACGCACGCGCCTTGCTTGCTTGTTGTCGTTCGAAGATGTGGATGCCAAGCTCATCTGCTCTCCTCCATGATTGGCTGCGCCAACATCGACGAGCATGCTCTCATCCTCATCTCCATACCCGAAAGGGTCATCGAGGCCGAAGGCAACGTCATCACCAAGAAGATCGTCCTCCATGATCAACCTTTCACCGAGCAGACTACAAGGGCATGTACTTTTTTTTTGCTTTGCTGAATATAGATAGAGGCTATTTTTCTGGGTGTTTATCTAGTTTATTTCCTTTCATGCTCCTACTTATCTCCACCAGGTTCATCTTCCTCAAGTGAGGGTCTTCGGCTTTCACTTCTTTCTTCTTCATCTGTTGGCCTTTTTCTCAACGCTCTACGCACTCCGTCACCCCTCTCTCTCGACTACACTCCACAGGCGGCCGCCAGCGACAACACTGAGAATCGACGAGTTCGAGGAGGTAGCTCAAAGAGCCATGCTTGACAATCTACACCACGAGCCCAACGCAGTTTTTTTAGTGCTTGTTTCTCGTGGTTCTTCTTCGAGATACTGCTCGAAGGCAGGACGATTCAGCAGCAAGTGCCTACGTCAAAAGTGTCGGGGTATTTCAAGAAGTTATGAACGAAAAGAAGAGGGAAAAGAATGTAATGAACATGAAAAGAGTGTGATACTGTGAAGATGCAACTTCGATAAATGTCGAGGCTGGTCACGTTAATGCCAGCCAGGACGCCGTGGAGGAAAGTTTTATAGTGAAGCAGTGAGTTGCTCAATAAGGGTAAAACATGCCAAAAAGTATCGTAGTTCAATCCAGAAGTTCATCGCGTGGCGCTGTGTATACCTTGGAACCTGATCTGAGTCAAAGCACAAAATACAACAGCTTCTTCAACATCTAAAAACACTCGGAGACCCAAGAGCAACATCAGTCATCATTCGTCTAAGCGGCTGCTGAGTCACGACGCTATCACCGTGTCAACAGTGACAACCCACGACATGCGCGAGTCATCGACCTGCTGCTGCTGGTTCTCGTTGTTGCTCTCTCAGCTACATCGCACGCTTGCACCTCATGCCGATCTAGTTCTTGCGCGCCATCTTGCGCTTCGGGGCCGGAGCAGCCTTGGGGCTGACCTCAACCTCTTGGTCGTCTCCGGCTGCGGCGGAAGCTTGAGCTTCCTCCTCAGATTCAGCTTCTGCTCCAGTACCAGCCGGCGGCAAGGGAAGCTGCATGCCGTTGTTGGCGCCCGAGGAGCTCGAGCCGCCGGCCAAGCCGTTTTCAGCTCCAGAAGCAGCACCGCCAGCCATCATCTTCTTCATCATCTGGAACGAGGGGGATAGTAAGAAAGTGAAGCAATGATTTGCCGGTGGAGTTCTCCACGATAAAAAAGAAACTACAAGAGTCAAGTGGTGGACAGTAGAGGACGCGGAGACTCTCGACGAAGATCAAGTATTACAGTCTGAATTAGTCAGGGAAGTCTCAGCCGAAAGAAAAGAAGGTCAAGAATCACGAAGCAAGAAAATCCAGCCACTACTACTGCATCTAAATCTAAAAAACAAACTAGAAAAGCACCTCATCCATGCCGCCTGCTTCTCCACCAGAACCAGCGCCCATCATCATGCCCATCATGTCCCCGAGAGCAGCACCACCACCAGCAGCTCCATCCATCAAAGCGAGCGGGTTCGCAACATTTCCAAGAGCAAGCTGACCACCACCGCTCTGGTTGATCTGCATGGCACGCATTGCGAGTTGAAACTTCTGGCCAGCACGCATCAACTCGAGCTGCGCAGCGTTCGGCAAGCTGGTGAACGCACGGCTCCAGCGGTAGCTCGGGCATTCGTTGGCCAACCAAGCCCCCGGAGCATGCTGGTTCTTCTGCGGAGGCAACTGGGATTGAAGTTTTATGGTCAGAGTTAAGGAGGAAGAGAGAACAACACTTTTTTGAAGTGGTGGGAATGAGTTTCAGTTTGTTCAGCAGGTGGATAAAGGTCTCGCGTACTTCTAAATGTGCCCCCGGAGCTGCTAACAGGAGAGCAATAGCTGCAGACTTCGTTACTTTTTAATCATCTAGAAAGCAGCTAAGAACTTCTTTACTTTTTCACTCCAATAAGTACAGTACCGGATTCGACGACTTGGTTCCGGCACTCTCGCAGAGGGCGGCGAACTGCATCTTGGAGGTCATCTTCTTCTGCACCTCCGTCAAGCGGATTTTGCCCAGAGTGGAAGCGAGCTCCTGCTGTTCACCAAGAGAAAGGTCGCCGAAAGCTGTGCATTTTTTTAAGGGTCATATAAGTGGACGCTTTTGAGAGTGTAGACAAGAAGGTGAGGAAGTGGTTTGAACAGGGAGGTGTTGTAGGTTGATCAGAAGGAGACGCAAAACATTCAACGCACTACACTACACAAGCAAAACTTAAAGAATTCTAACACTCAAATACTCGACTTGCCAACGTACGGCTGCTTCCCAAGCTTATGCAGCGGGCGATAGCCACCTTCTTGCGAATTCAGGTCATCAAGGTGCTCCTGCAGTGCCTTAATCTCCATCGCCGTCGCCTCCTTACTTTTTTTGGCTGCTTTGGTTCGAAGCTCAGCTTCGTAGTCAACCGGGGCAAGCTTCAACGCCGGCACTTTGAAGGGGTTTGACGTGCTGTCAACTAGTGGTAGTAAGTCTCTCGGCTTCTTTCGTGTCTACGTTATTGCCATGAAATTCAAGGCGTTAAATTTGGACGCTCTTCTTCAGGTAGCATAGTCTTGTCATAATTAGCAGCAAGCAGAAGACTACACTCTTCTCAGCACCACAACAACGCGCACCAATTCCAAACGTCCAAACTCTTGGGGTGGATCTTCTTTTGACCGATAAGGATCGCGAATGTTCATTCTGACATTTGTGACGAGAACAGCAGAGCAGCGCGGTGGGATCGTGTAGAAGTAGCTCATTCAGTTCAAGTTTCAGACTTCAGGAAGATTCTCAGCCGTCTAGAATAGTGCAGTATTATCTAGGTGGTTCATCGTAAAGAAAGCCAACGGTAGCCATGGCGATCTCTCCAACTGTTCTCCAGGCGCCCCAGGCTCCACATACGTCACGATCTAGGGTTTAGGACGTTCCGACACGAGGCCACGGCACAACCGCAAGAAAAATAGCGCTTTCTACAGGTCTCGAGAAGGGCACTCCGCAGCAGCCGCCAGCGCGAGCCTCTCCTGACACGTCGAGCCATCGGGAGGCCCCATGAGCGCCTTCGCAAGCGCCAAACCGTCGCTGCAGGCCACCAGCTCTCAACTTAACTAACTAGTTAACTAGTTAAAATTTCTATAAAAGCAATTTTTAATTAGACCCGGAAATAATTATTTAAGCTCGCCATAGCGCTACCTGTTACTCTACAAATGTTGTTACCAATTTCATCGAAATCATCTCTGTGTCGTGAAAGATATTTGTTTGCACAGCTATCAGCTAGAGCTCGCTGCATCTTCTGACGTTCTAGTATTCAAGGTTGTGAAACTATATTTATCCATCTGTATTGTAGCTATCAACATGATTAACAACATTTGCCATTATTTCATCTTCTTCGAAATTCAGCGAACACTTCCCAAATTCGCACGGTTCCGTCGCTCAGCTTCGATTGTGCGAGTTCATGGTGTTGAGCATCTCCGCAACCTGCGACATGTGGACCATGCCACTGCTATTACCCTTTCCGCCTTTGCCTCTAGAACTACTAGATGAGGCTCCGGCAGTCCAACTTCCCTGTCCCTGTTGAAGGGCTTGCGTGTTATGCCAGCACTCGGAGGACTTGCGTCCGACCTTGTGGCAGCAAGCACAGCGGGGTGGATAGGTGTTCTTATTTCCTTTTCCTTTGTCTTTCTTCGGCTTTTGTCCGCCGTTCTTTCCTCCTTTGGGTTGGTACCCGTAGGAGTTGTAGACCTCGGCGATTGCCTTCCTCTTTTCTTTCTGCTTGAAACGCTTGAGGGCGTTAGCGGAAGCGAAGGTCTTACCATCTACCTGATTGGCCTCTACCTCGTCATCATCCTCATTCTTATCATCACGAGGACGCTTGTTCGAGGTTTCCTGACCATTGACCGGAGACGCTTTCCCGGAGGAGTCGTTCTCAATTTTGTTGGTTCCCTCCTCGATCAACGTTGTGAGACGTTTCTCAAGTCGGTCTCCAATTTGGTCAGATGTCAGGCCGTCTTCTTCTTGCATCCGCTCGATAGTCGCTTTGAAGTTCTTGCAGAACAACTCAGGCAACTTCAGCAGGATCGCCCCGCTCTGTTGATCAGCTTCGGGCAGATCTGCATCCGGCGGGAAGACGGTGGGCGATTGGTTCATGATGTCGCGGATCTTTGAGAGGAACTCCTTGACATCTGCAGGCTGGTCGCTGTTGTGGAACTTCGTCAGTCCCTCCGACAACGGCTTGACCTTCATGCGCTGCTCCTGGCGATTGTTCGCGTTGAAGTTCCCTTGGTCACGAAGTAGAGCAACAACTTCACCAGCATCCATTTCGTCCACCGCGCCATCGTTATTCCGATTGTCGACAAACGACTTGGCCGCACCTTTCAGACTGCGTATAATTACGTCTTTCAGGTTGCGCCACTTCTGGCGGATCGCGTCTTCGCGAACGGTATTACCTTGCGGCACACCATGTGGAACGGCCGGCACGTTGACTCCATTCGTGTAGTTCTCAAGTAAGCCTAGGCGACTAGCTTCTTGAGTTGACGCACGGCTCGTTGCCACTCGCGCCAGTCGGACTTCTGTCCCAACTTCTTGGGGATCTCCTTGGCCTCGCAGGGCATTTTGATGGATTTGTTTATTTTTACTACACTACTTCCAGTTAGTTTTACTTTTGCCGCTCAAGGGTTAGGCCAGTGCTGGACCACAAGAGCACAGGCCTCCGCCTCCGTGCCTTGGTTCGTTTCTCAGTGGAAACACAGAGGCAGAATCTTGAATGCAAGCAAATCCTGATACTCCTGCCTGAGACTTGCGATCTCTGGTTGGTGTAGTCCCTGTTTGGTTCATTGGGTGAGATGAATCATACATCATCAGCATAAGCATGTCAGAAGGGATCGGACTGAACATGCATCATACGACTAGGATCAGTACGACCGTACCTAGTCTACACCTTGATCATTATGATTATGCATTGAATGCGTATTGAGTGTGCATTGGAAGTAGCATTCATGATCATTGACATTCGTGTCTTGTGAGATCATCCCGATGACAGTCGAGCGCGAGGCTTTGTGTGAGCCACTGAGAACAGAACGCCACGACATCCGAGAGGCTTGAACCATACATGGCCAACAATATTAGAAACGTAGGCTATGCCCACGTAGCCAAGGAAGTGTATATATGTAAGACTTAGAGCTCCTCCCCAGAGTCTTCCCCAGCAGCGTTCTCCCTGTTGTTCTGTTCTTCTCCGTTTTCCTCTGGGGCAGCGGCTGCTTCCGCCGGCGCTGTCTCTGCTGGTGCTGCTTCTCCTTTTTTTCTGGCTTTCTTCAGCGGTGGCCCTTTTGCTCCGCCGTCTTCTTGTTTACCTTTCCGCCTCCCCTTTTTGCCTTTGCTTTTGTCGCCTTTGTGTGGCTGCTGCGCCGCTTGCTTCCCCTTTCCTTTGTGGTAGCTGTTGCCGTTCTTCGCCGCCGAGCTACTGCTACTGCTGGAACTACTAGAAGGAGACAGAGTCTGCTTCCCAGGGTGCCACCTTGTGGGCCACCCGTGTCGACGTTGGACAGACTTGGGCGCGTTTTCGATTACTCCCATGGATCCAACGGCATCCAAGTTACTGGCCGTCTCTCAGGCGTAAACCAGACGCAGAATACAACTGAGGAAGAACGCGCGCCCTTCTTTCCTCATTTTCCTCGCCAAGTCTCAATGCTCGGTCTGCATAGCGAGACCAATACCCGAGATCTGTCGACTGTAGTGGGAGTTCGTGTCTGGGCTGTTGTTGGGTATCCACTCTTTCCAAGAATTCTCCTCTTGGACAAGCATGCACGATAAGCATCGCTGGGATGCTTTTGCATAATTAATCGCCGCCCGACCTACATCCTTTCAAAGTTGCGACGTGTCGCGCAGTGGAGTGATCTCGTAAGAGATGTGGCTCTTTATTCCGAGACCAGCTGGAAAAGCAGGCGGAGGAGGTCTTCTCTTGTAGCAAGTGACACCTCGCTACCTCAGATTGCTGACGTCAAAGATTGACGCCAGGCTTCGCCCGTCCCTTGTAGTCGTTGGGGCTCCTTCAGAACGATTACACTCGCGAGGCCCGACGTTTTTTTTTTGTTTTGTTTTGTGTAGTTGTAATCTATAGCGCTAGACAATACAAAATACAACGGCGCAGCGGTAAATAGTTACGACTAGAACCCAGCTAGAAAAAGACGAAAATAATCTTCGAAACAGTAAACAAGAATACACACGAAAGTCCGATAACGTTTAACGAACTTGAAGGGTGCAAGTATAAACACACACGAAGACGAAACCCGACAACGAACCCCGACGAGAGTAGAAGTCTCTTTTTTGGGTTTTGTTCCTGCGATTTTATGGCATAGACTCACAGACGTCGGCTTCTTGACTTAAGTGCCTTGGTGAAGATATCTGCCCTTTGCTCGTCAGTGGGGCAGAAGTGTAGGCCTACTTTCCCTTCTCGCTCCGACAGCTTGGCGGATCCAAAGCAATTGCAGAGCCATATGCTTGACCCGGCGAACTTCTGGCGATTCACCGACCGCCTTCGCGCTTCGGTTGTCGACCATTCAAGGAATTGGGGCTAGAGACTTCCCTAAGCGTCCACGTGGATCCGTCGGCTTTGATTGTCGGCCATTGCCTAGATTTTCAGGAGATTCCTGAAGTAGTCGCCGGAGGTAAACGGCCGCCCGCGCGATTTCAGTCGCGGCTATAAGCTCCGCTTCTGTCGTTGCCATAATTAACCATCGCAAAAAAATAAGTGCTAGACCCGTTCCCGTACTAGGACAAATTACGAAACACAAGCAAAGAGAAGACGAAACTTGTGACAAATTATTGAAAAAATTAGAAACCGACTAAATACAAAAAAAATGTTCTTGAAAATTGTTACTCTAAAACCCATCCAGCTTCGGCGACCACGTACACCGACATGTACAAGGTTACATATTACATATACAAAGCTTACCTAGTGACTGCATGTTGAGTAACTATTCCAAATTATCCAGGAGGCAAAGTAAACAACAGTCAAATATCCTATATTTTTGAACCCGGAGTAGAGGACGAGGGAAGAGAGTTGAAGAAGGGGAACCGATGCACAGGCGTTTTTGCTTATCCTGGTGCAATGGTAAATTGTAGGGGACGCGTTTTGCCATTGCAAAAACGGGTATTGCGGTCAATGCTAATTAATTGGAATGAAAAAGAGAGGGGGGACGCACATAGGAATATACACCATTCTAACTTTCAAAAAAAAGTAGAAATATCTCCAAGATGAGAACCCCAGTGCGCCTTGAGTGCCTCTACACAGGAGAAATTTCTGATCAAATCCTTCTCTGGTTTTTGTAGATACCTAGCATTGCTTTTGACGCCTGCCTCTACTTCTTGCAGAAGAAATTTCGACCCAAACAATCCAAACTGCATCGTTCTCAAATCGGTAACGGCCACGAGTTACAGGATGACGCAAGCTTTCGACTTACTTGTGTTCACCTTAGCAGGCCGCAGCTCCTCCCGCTTCTGAAGACTAGGACCCGTACCACCTCCATAGAACTTCATATGCATTATTAGAGCAAAAAATTAAAAAAAATCTCACTCACAAAAAAACTCTCACTTACCATATCATTGGCTTCGCGTTCTGTTCATGATTCTTCAGATTGATGCATGATTGAAAAGTCTCAGTATCTATGCAGAAGAATCTCAAAGGAATTGTCGATCGCTCCACACAGACACTGTCTGTAAGATGGGCGGTAGTGAATACTGAGGATACGAGGCAGCCTATTAGCTACTGGGTAGTCTCAGGTCTCAGACTATTCAGCTACTTCGAACACTCAATATTCAAATGCTTTCAACGGTTGGGGTAATTCAAGTTTTATGTTATTTCATTTCCATTTCCCACATTATTGATTCACTACTTCTTTTCTGCTACTTGTGAAACGAACCGAAGAGTTGTCTATAAGTACCGCTCAGAGATGTAGATTTAGATCATAGATCGTCTCATAAGTCGTTATCTTCGTTGGCCGCCGAGCCACCTGCTTCAACACTTGTTAGAGCATAGCTCGCACCAATCATCGCACTCGGCTCGACGTCTAATGAGCTCGTCTGTGGCAAGATTATTCAAGTTCAGCGACTTGATAGAGGACATAAGCGATCCATGAGGATTCACATAATCGACACTCGCATGGCCAGCCTGAAAACGCCTACTCAAGTTGAAAAGATCACGCATGAGACAAATGGAATCCTCGTCGATCGCTGGATGAGAAGAGGAAAGTCTTCGATCGCTAGACACAATCAGCAAAGTAACCGAAGGGACTTGGTCCAAGTCTTGGGAATAAGAAGCAGGTTAAGCCCGTACGCGCAACTCTTAGGATTTACAACAAGTCCCCATATAATTCTAATCTGAATACTTCAGGCTTTTTTTGCTTAGTTACCGCTACTTTCCTGTGAGCTATTAGGTCGTGACCCGCAAATTTATTCAATATTCCAGTGAGGTCAAGGTTTTAGGTCGGAACATAATCTTGGTGCCGCCGGCGTCGCCCTCGCCGCGCTTCCCTCCTCCGCGCTTGTTAGCGTATGTTCCTTATCACTTTCTCTTTCATCTCACTCAGCTCATTTAAGGGGCTCGTTTGTTTCAAGATCAATCACCGTCGATGACTTGTAATATCATTTAGCTTGTTTGAAATATTCCATGGTTAATTAGCATAGTCTTTGCAACATGGTTGATAATTATGCTGTGCTTATGTTAATTAAATTAGCATTAACAACAACATGGCTAGCTACCATAAAACCAAGTGTCATGTTCATGATGAGGCAAACAATAACTAAAGAAGTTTTCGATCGACACTTGAAGATTTAGTACTACATATTTGGTGATTGCAACTTGTGACGGCTCTTCTTGAGAATATCTCAGCGCAGTGCTGATGTGATTCTGCTCAAGTTGAAAAGATAAAAGTGGAATCTTCGTCGATCGCTGGATGAGAAGAGGAAAGTCTTCGATCGCTAGACACAATCAGCAAAGTAACCGAAGGGACTTGGTCCAAATCCTGGAAATAAAAAGCAAGCTAAGCCCGTGCCCGCAACTCTTGAAATTTGCAACAAGTCCCCAACTAGTTCTAATCTGAATACTTCAAGCTATTTCTTACGCTTGCCGCTACTTATTTCCTGGGAATACTTTGTATACGCATGCACTGGAGGAGCTTGCGGAGGAGGTGCCTGCACTAGCTGGGGAGTTAACTTAGGCGAGAGTGAAGGGGCGCGCCCTCTGGAAAGTTCCTGGACGACAGTCGACAAAAATTGTCGACTGAGGGACCGACTAGGGAGAGGGCTGGGGGCAACAGGCCCCGCGGGCCCCGCCGTGCATCGTGCGAAAAATGCACTCACGCGCGACGCCGCTGGCGGATGCATTGGCGCACCCCAGCGAAGGCGAACCTCAGCGCGCGCCTCAGTGGGAGACTCAGGCGCGGTCGGGTGAGAGCGTTACTTAACGCTACACCCAAGGGGCGGAGTTCACACGCAGAGCGGAGCGGAGCGGAGCAGGCCAGGCGGTGCGGGCGGGCTGCCGGCAAACAAGCCAAACCGCCCGCGCGTGGGCCGCTGGGGGGCCAGTGCGCCCTTCAGCGGTACGGTGGGCAGGCGCGTGGCGCCCAGTGGGGGGCGCTGGGGAGCCCAGAAGAATCGGGCCCCGCCGCGCGCGCGGCGCGCTACCCCTACGCGGGGCAAAGCTCTCTGCGTCAGGGTGGCGCTTATGGCAGCGCGCCTCTCTAAGCCTCAAGCTGAGCACCACTAGCCAGGACAAGCCCAGGCTCTTCTTCCCAAAAAATCCAGGCGCTTTCTGTGTGCGTAGCCGTCGCGATCTAGCAAGCTAGTGACTAGCTAGCAGCGCCCCCGCGCTCTGGTCTTTTCAAAAACAAAAAACGAAACGACCTCCCTGAAAACTCGAGGGCCTCGCGATCCACAAAGGCGCAAATCCTGTGGGGAGCGAGGACGCCGACGAAAAGGGCAAAGCCCTGCGGAAACTGATCAGCGGACCACCGTCCCGCCCCTCCATCTCCATGGCCGGGGCCATGGAGGCGCTGCAGAACGCAGAGAGAAGCAGCTGGAAGAAAAGACGGAGTAGCGCGAGAGAGTCATCTTCTGCGCAATCGTCCAAGGCTGGACTGCAACAGCCCAGCGGATTGCGCGGCCGGCGAACTTCCGGAAACAGGGCTCGCCGACACGGTCAAAAAAGACCCGGAGCCGAGGGCCTTCATCATCCGAGAAGACGGGCCCTAACTTTAACAGAGATGGGCAACGCCCTGACGTGGTTCCGCATGTGGCTGGGCGCGCACCACGAGGCGCCCGCCGTGGAACCGTGGGCCCCGAAGTCTCTGACTAAGCAAGAGGTATGGCCTTCGAAGCCGGCGCGAAACTGGCCGAAAAACGCAAGCTCCGGGCGAAACAAAGTCCAAGACTGGAACTGGCAGAAGCCCCGGCGCCGACCACCAAAAAAGAAGCGGCCGCCCGCTACCTCTTGGAGACCGCCGCGCCCGGAGACTGCCGACGGCGGAGAATCTTGGCGAAAAGTTGCCGGGGCTCACACGCGCCGCTTTCGCGCCTGTCCACTTCGCGCGGCGTCTGCTAAGCCTCTGAAAGCAGAGCCGACAGAACCAACACACGACCAGCCCGGTCACTGCACTGAGAGCGCCACAAGCTAACGAGCCAGCCTGCGACGCAGCCGCCCGACAAATGTCCAAACAAATGCACAGCCTAAAAGGCTGCACAGCTTTGGAGAGAGAAACAGAAAGACCACACAAAGCAGACACAGAAGACGCGGAGCCTTATGCGCTCCCGCACGCTGCAAATTGTCGCGAGTTTGTTCTTGGCGGTCCATTTTCGTGTCTTCATCAAAAAAACACGGAAGACAAAAGCAAGTAAAAGCGTCAGAACCTTCGCGAAATGTTTGCGGAAGGTTTGCAAGTCTTGACCATGTTGGAGCTGCGTGCTTTTATCTTTTCAGAAAGATTCCGCGAAGATTTTTCAAAGATTTCGCGAACTTTTCACCAAGATTTTTTTTGTTTTCTAAAGCGACAGGAGAGACGGGAAGCCGCTGGAGCTGTTCAAGCGTGGAAAGATGGCCGCCGCCAGCTTATGGCGACACTGCTCCCCCGCCTGCGTTTTCCCTGTCCTCCGCCCCGGTGTCCTACGCTTCAGGGGGCTCACACAACCGCGCCACGCCTGCCCCCGGGGCGGCGCCGATGCCAGCGGCATGCGAGCGGCCCACAACGAACCAACGCCGAGGCCGCCACCAACGACGAAACACAGAACAAACGAAAAGCAACGCCAAGCGCTTCGGCGCCTGGTTTGGCCTTTCAAGCAAAAAGACAACGAAGACCAGCCCAGGCAACTCTCCCCGAAGATTTCCTCGCGCACGTCTTTCACATCGTCGCGGCGGTCTCCAATACCTGACCGAGCGCACCAACAGAGAGGCGCCTGGCGATTCGGACGCTCGCCCGGCCAACTCGCCGCGGGCGTCGGTACGCAAAGCGCGCGAGGAGGAGGGCCGAAAGCTCCTCGAAGAAGAGGAAAAGCAACGCCGAGCGATCCTCGACGGACGCCAAGAAGAAAAAGGAGGGCGAGGACCCCGCCGACTTCGCCGACAAGGGCGAGGACTCTTCGGAGGAGCCTCCAGAAACAGCGGCCCTGCTCAAGTCATTCACAAAAAAGACGACCGCGCAAGCGATCGCGACGGCCCTGAACGGCAGCGGAGAGGACAAGACCCGCTCCTACGACGACACGCGCCCAGCCAGCGAAGGAGGAAAGCCCCTCGCCCCCCGGCACGTCAACGGCGAGCGTGGAAAAGAAGACAGAGGCAAGGGCGGCCCGGTCGTCCGTCTTGACAGTCAGGACAGAAGTCACGGAGGCGCAAGAGCAACGGAGAGGCTGCCTCTTCACGAACCAACGAAGAAAAAGCCCCGAAGCAAGCTAGCCACGTGCTAGCCGCGTTATTAGAACACGCGGAAGAGTACGGCCTCCGCCCCGTCTTCGACGTAGACGAAGACAGCGCCCCAAAACACAGCGGCAAGGCAGCCGCGAAACCGAAAAGCGCTGGCGCTGCTGTTTGGCGGGCGCATGCGCGGCCTCAGGCATCTGGGGAGAGGCACAGGGGGAAGGGGACCAGCCTAAAGCCTCAAACGGCGCAGCTGCAAGCTTCAACGGAGACAACCGGCGCAACGCACGAGCAGCGCACCCCAGAACCTGGCCCGCAGTCAGGTCACCTCCAGCGTCCCAGCGGGTTACCAGGATAGGCGCAGCCTGGGCCAATGCTGGGAAACGCTGCGACGAGTGGAGAGCGCCACCAACGGCGCCACCGGCCTGCAGCCCTATGACCTCATGACGGAGCCCAGCGAGAACCCCCCAGAAATCCACCGCCATCAAAAAAGCGGCTGCATTTCTGGGCTTCAATCATGAAAGAAGACCCACGGAGCTTCGACGCGCTCCAACAAAAAGCGATCGAAGCGATGAGAAAGCGGGCCGGTGAGAAGATACACGCCCAACCTGCTGGCCTGGTGCAACCACTTCAGCCCCCACCCCATCGACGAGGTGCGCTACACCGATGAGGAGGACAGCAGAAAAACCAAGCCGCCCGCCCAAAAGCAAGGCGCCCTGCAGAGAAAACACGGCCGGAGAAGACCAAAAGCGGAACGCCCTCCAGCTCATTTAAGGGGCTCGCTTGTTTCAAGATCAATCGCCGTCGATGACTTGTAATATCATTTTGAAACATTTCATGGTAAATTAGCATAGTCTTCACCTCTAACAACAACGTGACTAGCTACCATAAAACCTAACGCCATGCTCATGATGAGGCAAATAATAACTACAGAAGTTCTCGAGCGAAGCCTGCAGATTTAGCACTAGTAAGTTAGAGCTAGGAACTTTTTGTCCCGTCACGGGTCGAGTTTCTCGGGTTGCTCGCGGTAATTTTTTGCGCGGCGCCGTTCAGGCGCAGCTTCGTGAGACTCTTGGATCGATACCTTAGCAGGAGCGCCCGACACTCCACACCATGCCTCCGGTCCCTGGCTTTCTTCTTAATGCGCACCAGGGACGAGAGCGAGCAACCACCTTCAGCTCAGGAGCTCCTCCCAGCCACTTGATCAAACACGCAAGGCATCCGCCACGCGCGCGTCTCTACTTACTGCACCTCCTAGGCTGAGTGGGCCGCTCTCCAGAGCAGGCGGGGACTCACTCTTACTCTTAGCCCCAAGAGAGACTCACTGGCCACGCACACATCCGGAGAAAAAAGGGAGAGACTGGCACCGACCCAACGACAAGCCACAACCACTCTCTCCCATCAAACAAAAAAAACAACGAGGCGAAGCCGGCGGCCCCTTATTTAATGCCTGCGCTTCATCAAACGCGCGCCCACACGCTACAAGAAAAAAAGCCGGAAGGGCTCGCTGGGGAGCCCTTCGCAACCGGTTGCCGCTCTCATGAGAGAGCACCAACAAAAGCAGCCACGTCCCCACTTCGCGCAGCCACAACCGTGCCCATACCGCCTTGCTACGCCGCACCCCGGTGAAGCGGATGGCTTCCGGCAACTCGTGGCAACTCGTTCCAGAATTGAAAGCCTTCGCTTCGGCAACTCGAGCAACTCGAGTAACTCGAAGTCCGACACTTTACTTACTCTGCAGCATATATTTTGCGATTGCAACTTATGGCGGATCTACTTGGGAACATCTCAGCGTAGTGCTGATGTGATTCTGCTACGAGGCGGCCCTTCCCACGTTTCGCAAATACTTTTTTAAGTCATGGATAAGGATCGGCTGTTAGAAGACATAGACACTGTCAACACAATAATAGAAGAAGTGAGCGACTTCATATTTCCTGTCTAGCGGCTGGCGCAACAGCGGAACCAGCGTGGCCTTCGGTTCCTTTACCAGTTGATGTGCCCCGTTTTAGAAGTAGAGCAGAAGGCACCTGAGTTAGGACATAGCTCGTCCTTGTTCTTTATCAAATCAAAATCTAGTAATAAATAAGTATGCAGATCACTTCCTACTGACTTAAGTATGTATATCTCTTATCCGGAACAACGTCAGCAAGCGTTTCATGATGACTTGTATCATTTACTGTCATCGCCATGACTCGTGCCCTGAAGTCGTGCTGTATATGCATATCCTTAAGATCATAGCTCAAAGCGAAGGTGTAGGCGTCTTCGACCGCTAGACAAAGACACAATGAGCAACACAGTAGAAATCGAAGATCTCTAGATGCATTGTCGTCGATAGCTATGCTGAGGAGGAAAAAGTCAACAAAACAGAAAGTATGAGAAGGTATTGAGAATAATACGCACGATAAGCAGCTCGCCCCCTTTTATTGATCACGCTTCTCATAACAAATTGGTACTCTGATGTCTTGTAACTGCGCGTGCGCCTCCTGAGCCATTTCCAATAGGATCAGCTTCACGTCCTCCGATTTGTTGGTTTAGAGTTTCTCAATCATCTACTTCGCAACATCTTGCTTAGTTTAATACTTTTCTCAAGATTATCCAATTATATCAACTGTAAGTAAATCTTCATTGTGAAAGTGAAACGTTGATCCACGAGGACTAGAAGCATCATCTTCATCTTCATTATTTACATGACAATAAGAATGGCATCGGGTAACATGGATAAGAAAGGGTAGAGGAGCCTTGATCTTCGCTAGTTGTAGGCGTCGCCGAGGCTCTCCTGGTCCTGGGTAGATCTATAGACGCGCAGACCCCTGCTGCCTCACTCCTGCTGCCTCTAGGGTATATACGTGCATACTTATCCGCCGAGGCTCTGGAGCTTGAATGGCCTCGATATGATTGAGGGCGAAACGGTGCCCCCCCCTCCCCCTTAAGCTCGAGAATGGGACCCCCTGGGCCTTACGGGATTTCTAGTGCGGATATGATCTGGGGCCAAGCGATCGCCAGGCGGGTCCTGCTCCTGCTGGGGCCTCCTGCTGGGGCCTCCTGTGGTTCCTGTGGTTCCTGTGGCTCCTGTGGCTCCGGTGGCTCCGGTGGCTCCGGTGGTTCCGGTGGTTCCTGTGGTTCCTGTGGTTCCTGTGGTTCCTGTGGCTCCTGTGGTTCCTGTGGTTCTTGTGGTTCTTGTGGTTCTTGTGGTTCCTGTGGTTCCTGTGGTTCCTGTGGTTCTTGTGGTTCCTGTTTCCACCGCCTTGGTCGACTTTCTTCCAGGTTTGCCGCCTGGGGAACATTTTCCACCCCTTGGCTGACTTTCTGCCAGGTTTGCTGCCTCGGGCACACTTTCTACCCCCCTGAGTGATTTTCTGCCAGGTTTGCCGCTTCGGGAACATTTTGCCGCCCCCCTTTGTTAATTTTCTGCCAGGTTTGCCGCCTGGGGAACATTTTCCGCCCCCCGGGTTGATTTTCTGCCAGGTTTGCCACCTCCTCGGGAACATTTTCCGCACCCCTTTGTTGAATTTCTGCCAGGTTTTGCCGCCTGGGGAACATTTTCCGCCCCCTTGGTTGATTTTCTGCCAGGTTTGCGCCCTTCGTTGATTTTCTGCCAGGTTTGCTGCCGCCCTGGTTGACTTTCTGCCGCATTTTCTGTCAGCCGGGAACATATCCCGCCCCCCTCTGTGACTTTCTGCCGCATTTTCTGCCTACCCGGGAACGTTTCCCACTCCCCTGGTAGAGTTTCTGCCACCCGGGAACACTTTCCGCCCCCGTCTGTGACTTTCTGCCACCCGGGAACATTTTCCGCCCCCCTCTGTGACTTTCTGCCGCGTTTTCTGCCTACCCGGGAAGGACCATCTCCCACCCCCCTCCGTGACTTTCTGCCACCCGGGAACACTTTCCACCCCCCTCTTGGACTTTCTGCCGCATTTTGTGACAATCGGGAACATTTTCTGCCCCCCTCTTGGACTTTCTGCCGCATTTTCTGACAATCGGGAACATTTTCTGCCCCCCTCTTGGACTTTCTGCCGCATTTTCTGCCACCAAGAACACTTTTGCCACCCCTTCCTCTTGGACTTTCTGCCGCATTTTTTGCCAAGCTCTGTGAACTTCTGCCGAAGGAACTTCTCCCCCTCGCCGTTTTGTGGACATTTTCCGCGTCCCTCTTGAGGTTAAGACTGAGACTGAGACTCACAACCAGGGGAACGCTGCTGCCCCTCGTCCGCCACATCAAAGCTCCCAACAAAGTGAACAAGGGAGAAGAAACTTACAACCAAGCTAATGCGCGAGGCCGTTGTCCTTTGTTGTTGTGATCTCAGTCAGCTGAATCCTAGAAAAGTTGTCGACAGTCAAGCCATTGCCACGCTGCTGGTGCTAGCGCTATCGCATGCTTCTCAAGTTCCTCCTATAGGCTGCTCCGATTTATTTTCGGTGGATGTGCTCACCGCGGTCACAGTTCGTTGTGCTGCCGTGCTAAATTAGGCGAAGTTAACACAGGCTGGCGCCTCCTCTGTTTACATTTTCAAAATGGTAAAGAAGCGAAACCAAATTGCCTACACGACTAGAAATCCCGTAAAGCCCAGGGGGTCCCTTTCTCGACCCTACCCCCCCCCCTGTGGTCTGGTCTGTGGTGGCGCGCGCGCGCGCTTTTCCGCGCGCATTTCGACGCGGAATCTAGTGGGGGAAGGCGTCCAAACTTGGCGCGGGTCTCCCCTTGAGCCTCTCAGCCGGTTCCCCCGGGACCTCCTGGATGGCCTTTTCTGACCCTCGCAGGCGGGAGGTCTCCGGGGTAAAAGGCCGCCGAGGGCGGCCACGGTCGCAAGCAAGCGAATGACCAAGGGCCCGGGGGGAACAAGCTGTACGGCGCAGGGGTCCAGCCCCTCGGCTTTTGCCGCCTTCAGAGGCCTGCCACCTCCTTACGTTGGAGGCCTCTAGGGAGGGCCAAGCTAGCACCTGGAAGGGCGCGAAGGCGCCCACCTGGCCCCCCTTGTTTTGAAGCCTTCCACCCCGGGCAGACGCCTCCCAAAGGGGTCCGGGGCTGCCGGTACCCCCCCAAACGCTCGGGGGGGGGGTACCGGCAGCCCCAAGCCCTCGATCATATATGTATACACGTCAACGCGCTGAGGCTAATGCATTACCTTGCCCAAGAAGCGGGCCCATCTATCAACATCAAGGGCCTGCTGCACTGGGCAATGGTTAACAGCTACACAAGATGACAACTAAGACACAGAAAGACAAACGAAAAAAGTCAACAGGCCTGCTTGCAGCCAAAACTAGAAAGGCAAGGGAGCTGGCTCCCACTGTGGTCAGAGGGACAGCGCCGGCCACCCTATGCCCATTTCTTTGAAATACCGGACACCCCTAAAATTTTACTAATTTGACTCATCGCAACGATCTCAGAAGACCCTCCGACGCTGCTAGCAACACCCCGGAGAAATCCCCAAGAAAAGACCAACCGACCGCACCAGCAAAGCCGCGACAGATAAGCAAGCCCACCGCCCTCAGCTGGAGCCAGCACCAGAGTACCTCTGTGTTGCTACGCTAAACCTACAAGGTTCCACTTCAAGCATTTACCACCGCAAAACAAGACTTTTCAAAAATCCAAATCAGCGAAAATTCTGGCTTTAACTTTTTCACTATAGGCAGAGCTTGCGTTTTGAGACTATCCCACAGGCCGGCGCGTCTGAAATTATTCGCAAAAGGGTGAGCTAGTGAAGCAATGGGCGGCCTCGCGCGTCATCCGCTCGCACTGGCGAGGCCTTCCATCCACGAACCCGCCCCCACACGACGTCGGGGCTGGAGCAAAAACAAGAAGCGCGCCGAGACTGACGGGGCTGCAGGCGTGGCGGTGGTGGGAGTGGCATCAGTAGACGAAGTCAGTAGAAGTAGCTGAAGCAGCTGCAGTAGGTAGCGTGGTCTCTCGCTTCACGCTCCATCTCTCAACAAGTTCGACGTCGCGAAGTGCTACGCTGTGACGCTTTCTGTTTCTCTTCTTCTCTCTCTGTCTCTCTGTCTCTCTGTCTCTCTGTCTCTCTGTCTCTCTGTCTCTCTGTCTCTCTGTCTCTCTGTCTCTCTGTCTCTCTGTCTCTCTGTCTCTCTGTCTCTCTGTCTCTCTGTCTCTCTGTCTCTCTGTCTCTCTGTCTCTCTGTCTCTCTGTCTCTCCGTCTCTCTGTCCCTTCTCTATTCCTCTCTATCCCTCTTCCTTTAAATCTCTCTGCGTCTCTCCAATTCTGTCACCCGCTTGCGGGCCCTTCGTTCAAGTTCAAACCGAAAAACCCCTCGACGGACTGAGTGTCTCTCTCAGGTGAGGCGTGAGACTTCTTTTTGCAGCTGAAGAGGAACACAGCCCAGCCTTGCTTCTCCCTTCCCTCCTCCTCCGATCCTGTAACCAGGACTGAAAAGCCGCGCCGGCACTAAGTTTCTTGCTTTAGCCAAAGCACCCTGTTTTTTTGTCCATGCTCATTGAGCATGTTTTCCATTCATACAACCAGTCGCTTTTATACACATACGCTCCTGCTCGTGTCTTTCTTGTTGTTTTCGTTTGCTAGTTCTGCGACATTCATGACAATCAAGTGGAGCGTGCTCTTCGTTTTCATGGATGGGCTCTGTCTTCGTGTAGCAGTGCCTTTACGCTTGCCAAACCAGTAGAAGACTAACGTCATGCAGAAGGATTGACTATCGTCTTCCCCTGAAGCCTTTAGTAGTTGCGCCACCTCGTCTAATCTCTGTGCTCAACAAGCACACACATCCCTGGTAAGCCTTAAAAAACAACTCAGCTACGACACAGCTGCCCCGACATAGTTCAACTCAATTCAATTCTATTCATTCTATTCAAACTGTTCACGTGTGTATGTTACTATCCCGGCCCCGCTCCAGGTATATGCCTAAGCGTGTGTCTTAATGAACTGCGACAGCCCCGGGCACCAGCCGAAGACTTACTGGAGTGCATTCTTCTGATTCAAAATTGCAACAAATATAAATAACGACGCCACGCTGACCAACGTAGTACTCTAGTAGTTAGGCCGCGCCCGCTGGCGCTGGAAGTATACGCATGGCCCTTCGTACCCTTGTGGGGATCATACCGTGCGCCAGTAGTTGCGTGTGAAGAAAGTAACACAATATTACAAAATGATCCTGCTAGATTATTCCCAATATTAGAGAAGTCTCTAGTATGTAGTACATGGATGCCCCACTATGTCAAAACTATTCTTATTCAATTATTACAAAATTGCTGCCTTTTTTCATAGACATGCCATCATAAGATAATCACTGACGGCTCGTGTAGTAGTTCCCGGGCACGGATTTACTCTACCCCCAGAAGAAATCACTACTGCACACCAACATCAAGCTCGGCACAAAATTTATAAATGCTTTCTGTCATTCTTGACTTCTTTCCTGTGTCTAATGTGCGCCAAATTAAGGTGTATGCTTAAGGTATGGCCAATGCCCTATGCTTATCCCATATCATTCATCATGCTATCGATCCCTCTATTGTGTTATGCTGTTCCCTCCCATGCGCGTGCACACGTTAATCATATAACAATGATGGCCAAGTCACAAATTGGCATGCTCGCAAATATCTTCGACGTGATTGCTGTTGTGTTAGTTTTCTTCCGAAGCAAAATTATAAATGCACACCAAAGTAGGAACTTCTTTTTTTTTGATCATCGACATCGACAGTAGAGCTTTTCGCTTCCTTTATACATACTAACTACTTATAACACCTAAGGACAATACACGGCAAGTGGCTAACAGGGGTAGCCAAGCGAACCCACGACCTCAGCAAGCTAGTAAGAGGGGGAGAAGCTGGCAGTCAACAAACATCCTAAGTGAAGTATGACTCGTGGATCCAACATCAAATCTATTCCAGGAAAATTTTTGCCGGATCAAAACCAAAAGATGAAGACTCTTCCCACCTCCCAAATTACTATTCTCATGAAAGTCTTTCTTTACAAGTGATACAAAAATCAGAACAACTATTAGCGTTATTGATGTCAGAGCCTTTCGATGTGGGTATCAATCTGGTATGAGTATGATCATCCCAGTCTGTTATGTAATCCTCCAGCGTAGATCTCGTTTCCTATAATTTCGCCACTGCTGTCCCATCAATCAAGGCAACAAAATGGAGGGCAACTCTTCAAAGATGATTCTTATCAGCTACAGCTTGCGCGTCAGATATAGCAAGCGCGCTTCTATAACGCCTGGACTCTTCCTTTGTGGCGTTGTATGCTTTACACAGTGACAAGCTGTCCTGAGTAGCATAAGGGTCACATAGTTTAGCTACTGCGAGCGCACTTTTAAGAGACAGAGCAACTACCTCGCGCCCTGAGGTTTTTCATATCGATCCAATTCCATAGTAAATTAGTGAAGTACCACTCAGAGCGCCTTGAGTCGACATAGAGGAAATAATAGTCTACAGTTCCCTCGCTGTCAAAGTGTCCTACCTATTTTCGTCTTTCTCCCAGATGTGAGGAATATATCAGGACAAAAGTTCATTAATATTTATTACTGAAGACGAGAAAAGTTCAGCATATAGACACGCAAGCATCGAATGCGACAGAAAGACTAGTTCTAAATTAAACACTTAGCTGATATTCGGCCAGTTTATAACTGTTATCCTTCGCGAGTAGAAAGTAAGCAAGCAGGTAATCACTGGACTCATCAATTTCCTCTACCTAAGGTTTAGAAGTTCAAACTACACAGACGCCGCGATAAAGCAAGGGACCCCTGCTATGCTACTCATGATCTAGCAGAACGACTCTTACTTCTCGGCTCTACAAGTGCTTAGAATTTTTATTTTTATATCGCCTTCCTTAGAATAAAATGAAGTCGCAAAATTCGAAGGCGAAGCCAAGTTGGCTCTTGAACAAGAACGAGTTATATTAGAAAGGTAAAGCAGCTTCAGCATCCAGATCATCAATATCGGCCTCCTCCTCATCCGCCGCGATCTGCTGTTCCATTGCCTCTGCCATCTGATCCTCGTTATCGTTCTCCCCTTCCATAGCAGTATCCGGAGCTCCGCTGTTTGCGCCATTGCTTTCTTCCTCCTTTTCCCTCTCTACCTCTTGATCATGCGCTGGGGCCACCGCAGGCGCAATGACCTGAGCCTCCACCGCGCCGTTGGTATCCGTACCTACACCAAAAAAGGTTAGTGGCACAGCATCGCTCCCTTTTTTGCCTCGCTTCTTGGGTGCTGCTGCTTTCTTCCCTGCAGCCTTCTTTCCTGGTTTCGGTTTGGGGCTGGGTTTTGCTTTTGCAGTATTTGCCTTTCCCTTCGATCCTGTAGGGCGTCCGCGCTTTTTCATACTGGTTTCGGATGCTCTAGACGACGAGCCCGCGGAGCTTCGACGATCAGCTTCGGCTTCTGCATGCGCATCCGGATTGCTACCCGTCTTGCTCACCTTTGTAGGAGGTCCAGTTCTTTCCTCATCGTCCGCTGCCGCGACGCGCTTATTCCAAATTAGAGAGCCCAAGCAGCCTACTGGTTTCAAAAATGAGCAGTAGCTTAGTATAGCCACCTAAAATGCGCAAACATATACAAGACTTATAGGCTTGATTATAGATGACACAGAAAGGAACAAAGGCGCAAACAATATCGCACATCACGACCACATACCGAGAGCGGGTCTCTGTCATTCTTTCTTGCTGCTCTTGGTTGCTTCTATATACGAAACTAACAGATAAGAGACAAAGACAATCTCGATAGTGCCACCAACTGTGGGAAAACGAAAAGTCACACGAGGATGTCGCGGCCAGTCTTCGAGAAGGGCCTGAAGGTGAAGATATACACATCATAACTTATTTACTGTAAATTGCGCTTCGTTTTGTAATACTTACAACTTATTGCACTTCGTTTTGTAATGTATACAACATAAGTTAGCGCTAGCAGGCTCCCGCTCTGGGCTTGAGGCGGCGTCCTCTGCTGTGCCCTCTTTCAGTGGGGAGAGAATGTGAGTTTCTTTGAAGTCTGCCATCGCTGCTCGGCGCTCATTGCGTTTCTTCTGGGCTCGTTTGTTTTTCAAGACGGGCGTCTTCTCAGACGACGGCGCGCCACCTGCTACTTCTCCCTGCTCGTCCTCAGCTTCAACTTTATCATCTTGCTGCATCTCCTCGCCATCCGCTGCCCCCATGGGATCGGAGATCAGCGGCTCTGCGACACTATCGTCTGGCTCAGCCTCAAAAAAAAACAAATTGTCGTCGTTGGTTAGTACATCTCCATTTGGTTGCTGTTTGTTGCTAGTTGTTGCTGCTGTGAGACCGTCTCCCGAGGCGTCGCTCGCTTGCGGCTCCGAAGCCCCTTGGAGTCCACCTCCGAGCAACGACGAAGATGTCGACGTGTGCACTGGCGCAGCACCCTCTCCTTCATCAACATTTGCGACAGACGCAGACGTCGAACTGCCTCCGACGGTCTGCGCATTCGGTTGCCCTAGACTTTCGGTAGCAGAAAGAGCGTTGACATCTGGAGTTTCAACCGCCGTTGCTGAAATCGCGGAAGTGCTAGCGCCAGACGTCCCAAGCGTAGTAGAGGTAGAGGCTAAAGCTGCTTTGCCTTTGGAGCCACGTTTGCGACCTCCGTTCTTGGCTGCAGCTGCTGGCGGAGCTGGAGGCGGTGGAGGGCTGCGAACTTGTGCTTCATCGGTGCTCGTCACGTTATGCCGTGTCTGGACACCGTTTGCCATCTGCGGGCCTGCCGTCCATAATGCACTGCCTTCCCCAGTCGCAGGCGGAGTAGGGGGAGCAGGCGATTGCTTAGGCAACGGCGGTTGCTTCGGAGTCGGACTCAAAGTAGCTCTCGGCTGTCCATGTTTTGCATCTAGTACTGCCACTGCGGCGGAAGGCAAAGGATGAGATGTAGACTCTGTAGCGCTAGCACTGGTGGCAGTGGTGATATCTTGCTGCGCAGATGTAGAAGTGACGTCTTTACCATCTTGATCTACAAGCCGCGCTGTGCCGTCTGAAGCAGGTGCAAACTGTGGCTGGATGTAAATGTTCTGCTTCTTCGGAGACTCTTCCTCATTCTTTTCAGCGGTGATTTTGAGTTCTGCACAAACAGCCTGCTCTGATGTGTCCTTGATAGCCTCAAGAACACGCTGATCCCCGTCAGCAACGGCGTTGGCGATATCCTGGAAATACTCGCGGACTTTTTCCTCGAATACTTTCCTCTTCCTTTCACGGAGCAGCCACTGGCTATCAAAGTGAAGAGATTCCTTCACATCTTCCTCAGCATCGATGACTGCGTAGATGAACGCCTCGTAGGTGACCTTGGAGAATGTGTATCCCTGCGCGCGCCCGAAATCGTGCTCAGAGTGATGGATTTCTGGTCGCAAAGTCCTCTCATGTCGAAATCGAAGATAATCTTGGCCCATCAGCGTGCTTTGGTTCAGTAAGCAGCTGTGCTTGGATGTTCGAAAAAAGCCTTTTTCTAGAAACGGCAGCCATCGCGATAGTACAGGGAGGTACTGCTGCAGGTCCGTGCTGTCAAGTTTGTTTTTGAAGTCTGGATTCTGTTGTCTGTAGAAATCCGACTGCTCTACACACGCGCTGCCGAGCTCGGTGATGAAATCCATGAGCTTGTCGTTCTTCACAATAGCCTGTAGCTCACCGATGTTGTTAGCGCACTCCAGCTGATGACGGTTTCGAATTGCTTTCATCTCCTTAGTGGCCGCTTTCATGTCTGCTATCTCCTTGTCTAGCTTCTTGCGCTTTTTGGCTTCTGCTTTACTTTCCTTGGCATTTCCCTTGCGCTTTTTCGTTGGTTCCTTGCCTTTCTTGCAAGAGCCGGCGTTTGTCGATGATTCCAGCAAGTTGTTGTCTCCTGCTCCTTGCTCCTCCTCATCCTCAGAATTTTCACAGTCAACTACTTCATCGTTTGCAGTAGAAGTAGACTCACTAGTAGTTGTAGCACCAGCAGCAGCAGAAGTTGAAGAAGGAGCTCCTTCTCCAGTTGCAAGCTGTGAAGAAACCGCTGTGGAAGTAGATGGCACCTTTGCAGAGTGAGATGGCCCTGCTGCTGCAGCACCGTGTTGCGGGTATCTGGCATCGTACTGTCGACGCCAAGTTTCGATTGGGTCCTCCTCCTCCTCCTCCTTCTCTCCGTCTGCCTCACAATCGATCACTTCACTCACGGGAAAGAGGTCATGCGTGTCGCCGGTCATGGTGCCACACTGTGCGGCCTCTTCTGGCGTAAACTGATCGTCTGAAATTTCCGCAGGCGTAAAATTATCAGCAGTTAGAGGTGTAGTAGTCGGAGCAGCTTGTTGCGTTTGAGCGGTGGTTGTAGAACTAGAAGCACTTGTGGAAGCGGTCTGCTGCGGCGAATTTTTAGAAACCTCCTGAAGCGGCTTCTTCCCATGCGAAGTAGTCGGGAACAAGAACCCCGATTCAGCAGTGGTTGTATTGTGTTGAAGTTGATCTCCAGACCCTAGAAGACCAGTAGAGGGTGCTGCTGTCTTTCCCATCGGCTGGCCCTCAGAGGTTTGGCTTTTTCCCTCGCCTACGGTGCGCGGCAAGCCAAAATCCTCCATAAGGGCATCGCGTCTTGCAGCGGCTTCTGGGCCATAATCTTTCATAAACCTGTGCAACTCGCGCTGCTCATGTCTCTCCTTGAGTGCCGGATCAGCTTCGTGCACGAGTTCATCGTCTATGATACCACCGTCCAGAATATCGGGATTCGCCATTCGTTCAATGGCGTCATCAAAATTTTCGTCCTCATTTTCTAAGGCCTCCAAACGAGCCTGCTCCTCTTCTTGCTTTTGTGCCTTCAGAAGTTTCTTCGCGGCTGCTTTAGCGGTCTGAATGATGATAGAAGAACGGGGAGCATGATCTGCTGTCTCTGATCACAAGCAAAGAAGGAAGCTTTTAAGTAGGACGGCATATCCGCGTGTACTTAAAAAAAAACGGCATGCAGAAACAGTTTGATAAAAGAAGCACTTTATAACGTCAGTGACAATATGTAGAGTTGAGTACCTTCATGGCAGCCTTGACCAGTTTTTCTCCTTTCTGATGCGATTTGAGAACCGCAGTGACCTCGTTCTCCTCCTTCTCTTTAGTCTCCGTCTGAATCTTCGTTTGCAAAATCTTATTCTCAGCATTCGCGGCATTGATGAGGTCGTCCATCTCCTTCACCGATTTCTCGTCCATAATTGCCTTTTTAGTCGAAGTAACCCACGGCTTCAACAATTCCCAGTCGGCTGTCGCTCGCATCAAATAGGTTTGGTTGTCTGTGAGGTTTTGGGTTAATTGGATATCAGAAGGTAGATGGTAACTAGGGAGAAGAGTCAGCAGCTTCAGAGAAAGCAACACTTTTCGAAGCAAGAGAAAGTAACAAACTGAAACTTTGAAGACCAGTCGCGCACTAAAAAAGAGTCTCGTCAGTCGTAGTATCCATTGCAAATGCAATTTGACCAACCAAAGAAGTTTAGAAATACGCTGGAATTTGTATCGCGTAATATTGTCTTTGATTTCCTGCTTACGCCGTCCAATATCATGCATCTTGTGCCATTCGAGTGCGCGGTATCCAGTAGGTGTAGTATAATCGACAACGTCGCGATTTTTGTCAAGGGCGTTCGTAATCTGGGTGTAGATTGTTGATGGAGCTTAGAGATCAATCAGTCCCATGTGGGTGCTGCTTCAAGTAGATGCACTTGAACAACACCAAAAGAATGAGATGTCAATTCCTAATAGGGATGCATGGCCCTTATGGAGACACACAATGGTTGAAAAAAAGCTAGAGTGGGCACGAAGATGCATTATAAAAGAAGTTGCAATTTGCTATAAGATGTTCATAGTCTAGGGGAAATAGAGGACCTATTAAAAAGCAACATAGCAAGACAGATACATATCAGTACCGCCCTGATCTTGCCCATGGTCATGCTTTGTGCATGTTTTACCAGATCCCAATTCTGGAGGTACGTGTGGTTCAGTTTGTCTACCATTTCTTGCGTCCACGGATGCACAAACTTGTCCAAAAAAATATTGACGCCTCGGTCTTTTGTGCGGTAGTTATCCGTGATTTGCTTGATCAACGCTTTCCCCTTGACCGGATGGCCACCAATAAGGTTCGTCTTCGTCGCGTCGTCAAGGTTCTTGTAACGTTCGTAAATTCCCATCTTCTGGAACTTATCTCGTTCATGTTCATACTGCAGATAGGGTCGGCGACATCGGAGTCCATCCGGCATGGACATCCCAGTAGGAAATCTGTGTAAGTAGTATATGGAAGAGGAGGTGGACTAACACTAATAAAAAATCATATATGCGTCAGAATTGATAGTAATGATATGGCTTCAGGATGGAACCACGTTCAAGGAGAATACTATGAGAACAAAATGTCGGAAGACAAAAAAGAAACTAAACTACTATACAGTGAAGCCAAAATGTTCACAGTGGACCTGTGTTCCCACATCAAGAAAAACTAGTACACTTCGATCAGGGCGCACATCGCTTTTTCGTATGCTTTCGGCTCCGTAGACATAAAGCACCCAGTCAGCTTAGCGTTCACAACACCAACGCAGTCCAGCATCTTCTGTCTCTTCTCTTGGTCTTGAGGATTCTTTTCGGCGGCTTGACAAGCGTCGTACAGATTCTCGACTTCATCGGCGAAGCTCTTTACGTGCGTGCGGTCGTGCAGAACTTGGTCAACCTCCTTCGCCAGAACTTCGAAGCAGTTGTAAACCGGCGCCCATACATCCTTGACAATGTCGATGGTACGCGTCTCGAGCAATTTAGGGCACTTGATCTCATGAGCTCCAAGGACCGTAGCTGATCCTTCTTTAGGGACCATGCCAATCCCTTTAATCGCCTCCTGGCGCAGATTTTTGAGGTCTTCGTCAGTCGGTGCAGAGCCTTGTCCCGGGTGGGTTGTCTTCGCCTCCGCTTCAGCTAGATCCTCTACCTTGCCGCCCTGCTTGATGTACTCGCGCATATCGACGGAAAACTGGAACCATTGATGCAAGGCGTCCATTTGTTCATCTACCGGAAAGCCTTTCGATAGTGCATGCATACCATGCGCTACCAAAGCAAGCTTATCAATCCAAATCTGGTTCCTGTGGTTAATTGAGATCAAGAGGCTGACGGGGTAGGGTGAGAAAATTGAAGAAGAGACGTTTATTTTGATACTCTATATTCTGCAAATGAAAGTCATGAAGTGAGGGCATCGGATTTCCATATGTATCTATCATGGGTCATGTCTACTAGAAGGGAAGTATGAGTAAACCAATATACAAGCACAGCAAATAGTAGTACATATCGAGCCACAGCATCTTCTGCTTGCCCATTTCGCTGGCAAGCAAATCCGCGTAGTGAGGCTTTACCATTTGAGGCACACACACACAAGCCTGCAACCAAGAATCCCCACGATCTTCCCTCAATTTCTTCGGCGCATGCATTTTGTCCTGTATCAGATGATAGGCAGGTACTACAAAAATGATAGCAGTGATTTGCTTTAGGTAAAGTCTGGCTTGAGTTGGAGCATCCGGTTGAAGCTCAAAGCTTTGCAAAAAAGAAAACAAGATATTGATATGCAACAACGTCCACAGGAAAAATGCATCATGCATCTGTATAACTGACACATCATACACAATAGAAATTCATATAAAGTGCCACAAGCTGGAAGACTTCTTCTGGCGTCAGCGGGTGCTGAAGGAGGTGAGGCTCCTCTTGCAGAGCAGCTCTCACCAGTTCCGGCGTGGCTAGCTCCTTTTTCTTTTTTGTCCGGATACACTTTCGCACTGAGGATACGAGGTTTTTAATCTCGCTATCAGTATTCTCCAGTAGCGACGCGGCTGTGCTGCCGATCGTCTTTGTGATTAGTGTCCCATCTGCTCTGGTTACAGTTATTTTCTGCTCCTCACCTTTCAGGTTGGCCTGAGATTCCGCATATGCCAGGAACAGCGGCTGCAAAGCTCCCTGCTTCCACGTAGCGTCCGTAGTCTTGGTGTGGCTGTCGTAGAAAGGTTTGCCGATATCCATGGCCGCTCTGAGGACGTCCTTGTCTTTGATGCTATTTTTCAGCCAAGGGTAAGTGCGCATCTTGTCCTTGACCCATTCTGTCAAGCCTCGGCGCCCTGTTCCCGGTGCCTGGTTGGAGTGACTCGTGATTTTACGCTGTTGCTGCTCATTAGCTGATGGACGAAGGGGCGCATTCGCCTTGGCAGGTGCACGGGTGCTGGGTATGAATCCTACTTCAGAAAAACAGCTGACGCTCACGCTTGCAGACCTCTGAGAAGAAGTGGACTGAGCAGATCTGTTGGATGATACAGAAGCAGAACGACTTGTCGCGCTAGGAGGTGCTTGCCGCTGATTCAAAAGGCGGCTCAGGGTGCCGGTGCCACGGGCAGTATAACTAGAAGAAGATGAGCTACTGGCTGGCATCACGCCGCGGTTTGGCGACGCAACGCGGCCCATGCTATTGCTCATCGGGTGTGTCGATTTTTGAGAATTGTCCATTTTTTTCCGTACTGATAGATGTTGTTGCTGAGACGTTCCTACTGAAGTTGACACTCACAATTCAGAATTAAGATCAAATGAAAGGTCAGCGACAAAAACAAAGTACAAATTGCTAGGCGAATACAGTCTCGTACTCAATTACTCCTAATACTGTCGCGAGGACCTTGCTCCAACAATGGTATGACCCTAGGCCGAGGCTGTAGCTTCAGAATGATATATTTATTATACTATAATATAGTGACGCCGAACGTGAGTAAGCAAGTGCAACTTTTGGTCGTCTATCAATAGATACCGCCCCCAGGTGTTACGCTACAGAAATACAGTCTCAATAATTAGGACGGCGCTGATCGTGATAGTTCAGGGAGCAACAACTTGCAAAACGATAGCTACAAGTAAAATCATTCACAAGTAAAATATTATTAGACTTTCTTAGACTCTGCCTTGAGCACCTGGAACTGTGCGCAGAAGCCTAAGCTAACGTGGGTGCCGTAGGAAATCGCACTTATCGCAATTCCGTAAAAAGATGGGAAATAGACTGTAACGGTATCACATAAGATGACTACTGCGCAAACCTATCCACCGACACTTTTGCCGGACTGATGTAATATTCTGTGCTTATTGAGTCTTTGATGCCGATAAAATTTAGTTCAGAGATAAACCGAAATAGATGACCTTCGTGCGTAATTATCCTTCTATTTTAATATGAACAATTCAAACTAGTTCAGCGCTTTATGATCTAAATCGAAGACTTCAGCTTCACTTGCTTTATGATCTAAATCGAAGACTTCACTTATCCAGCTGGTCTAGATATATTGCGCTCCTTTTTACTCGAGACTAGGGCACTAATTATTTCTGATGACAGTGTGGATGATAGAAGTCTAAGCTATAGAAATCAGAGACGCGCGCATGCGTTCTTACTAGTTCGGAGACAGACAGCGCCGCCCTTACTCAGTGCTGCTTCTTTCGACTATGAGCTTAGATTTGCTTCTTTCGAGTTTTTGACTCCTCGTAGGTCTGCGTGCTTTGTATTACTAATTGTATGTTGTGCTCGAGCAAATATCTTTCCTTATCAAATAAGTCAACTATACAGCAATCAAGCTTCTGTCTTGTGCCCAATCAAGCTAGCGAAAAGGCAGTCGAAGTCAGTCACAATTTCTATCATACCGTGAACAATGCTGACGATCTCTGTATCACATAGAAAAACGCTCATACGCGAAAACCACTATAATGCAATAGAAGAACTGCTCCTAGTAGTTGGAGATCTGTTTCCCAATTATCTTGAGGCACCCCTTCAATTGATCAACGGCGCTATTTTACTTGTACAAGATTGAGGCACTTGCAGTAGATCGCGTCTGACTCTGTTATATACTTAGCGCTAGATTTGTAGTTGTACAGCACAACGCTTCTGCGAAAGCAGACTCGAGGCTTCAGCAAAATGATTCAGATAGAAACTACCAGGTAAGTCTGTAGTCTCACTCGTAGACCCTCTCTCTGAAATTTCCTATCTGTCGCTGTTGAAGTTGAAGTAGGGACTTGCGTGATGACATGGCTCTCGCAGAAACGACTAAAGTAAAATCATTACGTCCCCGAAAGAACTGAGAGAAAGTCTTGCTGGTCCTACAACAGGTTCGATGCGTAGGTGAGGTGAGTAACCTTCTAGCATCAATACTATTGCCAAATGCATGAAGAGCTAACAAAAAAGACGCATTACACGTTTCAGAAAAAAAAAACCTTGTGGGTGGAAGGATTAATCAATGTGCAAAAAAACACGACTCGCGAAGGGCTGGCTCAAGGCGAAACTATTGCACCCAGCGAATGGATCGAAAAAAACAAGACAGTCCAGCGCGACACGTCAGTAGCTGACTATTTTTTCCACGTCGAACTTATCACGCACTCAATTTAGTCGCTCCTACTCGTCGAAAAAAAGTGCTTTCAAAGAAGTTGCTATAGAAGTACTCGTCGACTGGGTGGAGTCTCGTTTACAGGCTCGACAAAAAAGCAACGGAGTCTCTTTTTGCAGCAACGCGATCTCTCGTTCACTGTTAGTCTCGACAGCAAACAACGAACAAACAACGAACGATTGACATCTCTCTCACCTCATCAGGCCTTTTTTGCGGAACGATTGACACCTCTCTCGAAGCAGCCTCAGTGGAACGCTGCAGGGCTTCGGCTGTTACGCTTGATCTTAAATGAAGAGGCTTTTGAAATTGATCTGGTACGTTTTGATACTTAGCTAGACAATTACCAGCTTCAGACTCCCTTGCGAGTAGAAGCCTCAGAAGAGTGCCAATTGAATTAGTGGACTGTCACTCCAACGTGCGTAGTGGAGATTGAGTGACAGGACCAGGCGGCTCAAGAATCATGCTGAAGATAATGAAAAAGCAGCTCAGGGCGCTTCCCACGAAGCCTTTAGACCTGACGATCAGCGCCAAATCAGGTCTCAATAATTAACTCGAGGCGTTCTGTGATATAGAGAATCGTAGTCGAATTGAGTATGTTTATCCGAACCTGAGAAATATAACGAATCAATGAAAGGTCAGCGCTCGAGCTAAATCAATAGGATAGCGGTCACAAGCGCAACGACAAGTTGACGAATAAGACTGGCAGGGTCTTTTATGAGATTATAATAGTATCTGTCTCACTGGTGCATTAATTTAGACCAACAGGCTGCAGTAGTATATATGAATGCACTGGGATCATGGGTAGGAGGTGAATAGATGATGAGAATTAATTAATTCAATTGAATTTGAATCATACTGGATTAGAAGAGCACTTTTAACAATTAGTTGTAGCAAAATTTAATAAAATGGAATTAATTTATTTATCAAAACGGCCGGCATTTCAACAGATATAGAAAAATCCCACCGCGAAAAAATCACTGTGCAAAATTTTACCACCGAAAAACTCTCCAGCAGCAATTTGAATTAATTATTTCCCACTGGTTTTACCACCGCGTTTACCACCGCATTTGCCACCGGCTTCCCGCCGCGATTTCAGAGTAAAACGATTAAATTAATTCGATTTCTAGTCGAAAACAGCCACTTTACCACCGCGTTTACCACCGCATTTACCACCGCGTTTACCACCGAGAACAGGTCTCCGCGGTGGTAAATCGGTGGTAAAATTTCTGCATTGCGATTTTCTCGCGGTGGTAAACGCGGTGGTAAACGCGGTGGTAAAAATAAGCAAGCTATAATTTCTCGTCGGAATTATTCTACTGTGTGTCCTATGAACATTAAAAGGAAGAGCTAACTTGTGAGTAGCCTACTTGAATTCATATACTTTGCGTTTCTCCCACACAATAACTATTATTGAGCTCGCTTCTCTTCAGCGGCTTTCGTGTAGTTAAATCGTGGAGGTAGAGACGAAAACTGTGCTTCCACCTGAAGGTGGCCTGCGTCGATTTTGGATCCTGTATTTCCTGCTGACGTGAGGGCTTGCTGAGCACGCTCTATTCGAAGCCTCATCTTCTCTCTGAATGCTTTGTTCAGAGCCTCTCGATCCTTCTCTTCTGACGCTGTTGGTCGAGCATTTGGAGGCCTTGTCTCAGGACCAAGCTGCAAGAAGTGGTAGGTGTACCATGCCCATGCCGAGCAGATGCCGCGAGCTCCTCGTAAACCAAATTCTTTTATTGATCGAGAGCAACTAAGGGTCATGCCACGCATACTGGACAGCTGTTGCTTGACGTCACGAGGACAGTTGCACCCTACAGCATCACTCCACCCCTTGACGCAGACACTGTAGCCAGGTGGAAACTCAAGCTCAAATGGATCTTCCAATAGTTTGCGTCTGTTTTCTTGCAAATCCGCCTCATGTTCTGCCAGCTCTTCTTCATTCATGAGCAGCAGAGGGTTATAGCCTCTGTTATTTTCGCGCGCAGCTGCACCACCTCCAGAAGAACGAGAAGCAGTGTTGACGAAACCACTAGAATTGTCGTTAGCACCAGCGGGAGGTCTATTTTGATCACCGGGCACGCTCGATCCTGCGGCAGCTGCTCTTACTGCTTCAGCGCTGTGAAAGTGGATGGTGTTGGTTTCTTGTAATATCAGAGAAAAGGGCAGTAGTACTTACCTAGAAGCGAAACTATATCCAATAGATATAGCAGTACCTCGAAGCCATTCTTTGTCGCTTTTCTTTTCGTTGTGCTCGCCGTTTGCTTTGAGTAACAAGGACAAGCCTTGCTACCTTGAGCAAATTCCCTATGCAGTCGGAGTTTTCCAATGTTTGCGCAGTCGACTCAGCAACCGTCTCTGGTGCCAGTAGGTTCTTCAGGGAAACATCCTCGGGATTGGGCTGCCGCTGAATTTCAACCTGCCAAGCTGTCCTGCTGTCTGCGGGATTGCAAGGTCTACTGCTTGACATCACCGGATTCACACTAGACGACGCGGAGCAACCTGATATATTCATAGCGTTGATCCGCTGGACCCGGCGTTCTATCAAAGCTGCCATTCTAGCTTCCTTATTCGGAGCAGCAGGCGCGGATGGATTGCCCCCTGCTCCTGCCTCAGCAAGACCCTCGTCCGCTGCTGACTCAGACATTTCCTGGACGCTCTTTCTGTCTTTGACATAGAACCGAAGCGTCCCTAAGACATGGTCGACAGATGACAGCCACTGCGTCGACATCTCGCCCTGCAGTATTTCTGTGATGGGTCGCGCCTGCTGCGTGACGTCCACCTGCACACAGACCTCATCTTCTGCTTCGGCGTCAGCGCCACCTCGCAAGACTTCTTGCAGAACAATTGCGTATGCTGCCAGTGGTTTCTTAGATGATGCGACTACCAGAAAGAACAATCCCGAGGATGTTACGAAAAAATCAAGAGACCCAGGCGTATGGCCACGAGCTACTGCTATTTCGGTGGATGAGCGTACCCTTGTAACAGATCGAAAGAGTCTGTCCCCTGATGGACCCCAGAACTCCACTGAAGGCCGCCCAATTCCTGTATCGTGGCTGCCTGGTAAGCAACCTTCATGCCAACCTGCAGCAGGAGTCTTGGAATACGGCAACAAGGCAGACGCGTTTGCGTCGAGGATGAGCTGCATCTCCCGACGGTTCTGCTTACGCAATTGCACCTCAGGATCTGCAAAATAAACTGCCAGAAGTCTCCGCCATGCGTTGACATGCGAGATGTTCTGATCAATTGCCTGTCGCTTCCGTTCAGCCTGTTTTCTTCGGTGTAGGTCTCCAACCCACGCGGCTTTGCCACCAGGCTGCAGCTCTTTCTTCACCGACAGGTATTCTTTCTGAGCAAGTCCAAAAACCTTAGCTGCATCCTTCGAAGTCCCGCCACCACCATGCTCCTCCATAACCGACGAAACGTAGATGGACCGCTCGGTTATGTAGGACGCGTTCACTAATCGCTTGCAAGTCGGCACAGGCTTTCTCTGCTTGCACGTTCGGCTTAAAACCTCGCCACCAAAGTCTACGTCTATGTTTGCTTTTGTGGCAGGATTGCCATGCTTGCGCGAGACTCGAGCTGTGATCGAGTGCTGATTCTCTGATCTATTCGTTGTTCGCCGCAGCGTTGCCCGAAACATTAGTAGAAGACGCCTCACGTATAGAAGGTCGACCGCCTTGCTCCGCAACAAGCGGCGCAGCTTGACGTTGAAGCCACCGGTGATCTGCAGTCGTTCATCCGTATCATCTAAGGCCATGCATTCGTCAACCGCATCTCCCCACTCCTGACAACTACGATCAAGATCTGGAAAAAACAAGAATGGATACTTATTAGCCTCGACCGCCATCCGGGTGGAGGCTCCGTAGTAAGCGCGCAGCAAACCTGCAACGACAGGCGCATCCGCTTCAACCGGCTCATCTACTGGCAACTGGAAAAACGACAGGACGTCGATGTGCTCGGGATACTCGGCAAGGACTCCAGGAATTCGCTCAGCTGCTAGGTGGTGCTTTGAGATTGCCCCCTCATAGTCTCCTTTGTAAAGGCGCCCACTTGTAGACGTGATCTGATCGGTGATTAACAACAAGTCCCAGCAAAAGAGTTTCACACCACGCCAACACGGGTGAAAATTCGAGCTATTGACCCAGCACGTCCCCGACCAGACTCTGTCATCCTCTTGTGATATTGCTGCGCCACTTTGGTTCGCGCGCGGCAGAACGTCCTGCACAAAGACGTCTATTATTCCAGTAATGTCGAGCAGCAGCAGTCGGCGCAGAACGTCCTCGATCGTAAACCACCTCGAGAACGACGGGTCCTGAACATGCTTCACCACCAGTTTTTCTAAGACTTCAAGAATGTGCTCTTTTATGTCTGCAAGCTTCTTAGCCCGCTGCGGGTCGTCGTGATGGACACCCAAAACCAAAAACGTCCCCTTGCTGTTGCCGCCGTTTTTCTTGTAGTACAACAGCCTGATGCTGGGATCGAACTCTTTCACTTTGGCTATGCCTAGTAGATGCGTGGTTGCGGCGTACCTCCTCGCCCTTTCATGCCAGAGATCCAGACTGCCGTCTTCTTCCCGCCCCAGAGTCTCGATGTGGATCCCGTCCTCCATTGCCCCCAACAGGTCTGCACTCCTGCGACGGAGAACTTGAGCAAGCGTATACAGCATGGTCCCGCACTGCGAATGCCGCTTGTTGGGCTTGTTATCATCTCCGAACACCTTGCGAGCTACCAAGTATGCCTCTGCCGCTCCGCTGCCACTCAGCGATAACTGGTGCTGCAAGCACATCAGACTCAGATCCAGCACGCGTTCATGGCTCTCGAAATAACCAACCCACAACCCTCCAAGGCGTTTCATCGCTCCCGCCTGATCCGCATTGCTATAGAAAATCACCGGCGGCCCCTGAAGCTCCAGCAACGAAATAACCTTGCCAAAATGGCCAAGGTATTTATCGAGCAACTCGAAGGCTGAGTACTTCGTCTCTGACCACAACAACGGCAAAAAAAAGGTACTAACCACTACTAGCTTTGATGATCTCCTGCCGCCACAATTTTCTTCACCACGTCTACATGCTGCTCCAGAGCCACTGCTGCTATGCCCAACACTGCTCACGCACTCATGTCCGACATCACTACGACCTGCAGTTCCGCCTGCGCATTGATTGCTATTGCCAGGACCAGGCAAATGCCCACCATCGTCATTTGTTTTCTCTTGACGCAAAAAGGCTCGATATTCCTCAACTTGCGTTGTGCCGTCACTCCTTGGGACACCCCAGAGGACAACGTCTCCGCCCAAAGAGCCATGCTCCAATCGTTGATCACTACTACTGGATCCTCCGACTTCCTCATTTACAACTCCAGAGGACGATGAAGAAGTTGAACCGGAACAGGACGCTCGCGCCACTCTATCACCTGCAGCACCTGATAAATCTCCTGCTCTTGCTCCTGAAGCTTCTGTCGCGCCCAGATCTTCACATGCGCCATATGTATAGGCGATGAGAGTGCACGGGTACGCCTGGACGAACTTAGGCCTAGGCTTTACATTTGCGCGCTTCTCCCGCACCACTACGTCCGGCGAAGTTTTCACCTCTTTCCCATCCGACTCTAAGTAAAGCACAACCGGCCGGTCAGCTAGCTTTGTCATCTTGACATGCTCATACGCGCGTCGATTGAGCTCTTTGCGAAGTAAGCCAACAGCTTTTATCTTCTCTGCGTTGCCTGTCTGTAGCTCCATAACGTCCTCTATCCTCAGTGTGCAAGAGTGTACGTCTTCACGAGCAGCAGCGCCTGAGCTTCGCCTCCGCGATCGGGACCGAGCTCGAGATCGCTCCCTGGGAGAGCCCGCTGTTGAACCAGGACCAGCAGAGGACATGGTGAATAATTTCCAGGAACAAAAACAGAGCTAAGCTTGCTCTTTCAACGATGCAGTGTTGCTGTGGTACAATATGCGCGACGAGTGTAGGGCAAAGTATAAACTTCGTTGACTTTGAAGCAAAATATTATAGACTACAGCCCAGCGCTTAATCAATATCCGGCAACCAAAAACGGGGAGGCACAAAAAAGGGACCAGGGATATGCACGGCTCTATCACCGATACCAAAATCTACACTGATTCTTCGCATGTTACTCGACATCGTGAATACTGCAACGACACTCTTGAAGTTTACTCTTGCAACCGATTGACACCGATAGCACGATAAGCATACCCGAGCAGCTGTAGAAAAGACGTCGACCTTGATGAACGATAAGGCCCTGTGGCAAGAGAATGAATTGCAACACTGTCACTAGTGAACGCGAAGACACTTTCTTTCAAGACTATCACGCCATTCATATTTGTTTTTTCCTGCTCTTTGCGAATCCAATGGAGTACTTACAATAGAGACGCTTTTTCGTCAGTCTACCGCGTCTTTTCCACTCTTTAGTTTGTGGCTGTACATGAGTAGCATCTCATTGCTTGTTCTTTCAAACTCAAAGCTTGAATTGAACGAGGACCCCTCTACTCTATATAGTTTCTGCACGATGCATTTCATCTGTTGTCAAACATTTTTACCTGGTAGTTTTAAGCGATAACTTTAACGCAAAGAGTTTAAAAGAAGCCTCGTGTATCCCGTGAGCCTCTACTTCCCATCCCAATGACTCATACTTTAGGTCCCTATTAGCAGCTGCAAAGTGAAGATATGGCGAAAAGTCTTCTTATCTTGTGCCCCAAGAGTACCCGTATAATTTTAGTCCTTATAAATCGCGATAACAAAGCCAATTCTTTCATCTTCCTCTGTGCTCAAGCCTGTGCATGTTCCTCAAAAACAAAATAATCTTGAACGCCTGTGCATAGATACATCCAGTGACTCTTTGTAGCTGGCTAGAAGACTTCGATACTTGATTCTCTTTATTTTGTGTGTTGCTGAAACTTGCTGCTCCCATTCAGATTTTATCTCATGACGTACTTTTAGTTCTAACAATTAGTTCTGCATTATTAATAGAAGTGCTCACAGCCTGAAATGCCATTCATGTGTCTTAGGTAGCATCCTCACAGCGATGCAGGCCCAAGTGGTTCCGTCTGCAACCGTATCGCACCCCCACGAAGCGCTAGCTTTTTATACGATTAGAGCCGTTGATCAGGGACACCATGTTGCTCAGCGAACTTTGGAAAGCTTTCTATCATTTCTTAGTAGCTATGACGCTGTGACTTGATCTAGAAACCTTCCTCCCATAGTATCGCGATTACCCTGAGGCGGAGTCTATCTACCATAGCGTGAGCTTTTTTGGCATAACCTTGAGACCGTCGAGAGGGTCGCCTCCTTTTCGGTTTTTTTTCCTATAGCAAGCGCGCAACACGGAAGCAGCATAACTGGGCTCCGTAGCGAAAAAAAAAGTTCACTGGTCCTAGTCCTACAACATCTTCATTGTGAGCTAGCAACCTTGCCTCACTTCTTCGCCTTCTGGATCTAGATCAAGTTTAGTTTTGGAACATATGAACTTTTATCAAATTTTATATATTCCACCTCCACGCAGACGCATGTCAAACCAAAACAAAAAGTGAGAAGAGTGCGTCCCTAGCAGTTGCGAGCCCCATTGTGAGTCTAAGAGCACTAATCACCACGCAGTACCAAATCGGCAAAGAGATCCTCTTCCTCTTTCTTTTTATCAGACAGGTCAGACCGCTCAGCTTCGTTTTTCGTGGGAACCAGGCGCATGATTAGAGAAACGCAAAGAAAGCTTCAATATTACCCCCAGTCTACTTCACTGTCCAAATACAAACTCAACCGCCTTAATTTCTTTTCCCACCATTCCAAAGCCTCTTGCAAATCCATTTTTTTCGAGATGCCCTCACTGCTTGACATATCCGCGCCTGTATCTGCCTGCGGCTCCGACTTTGCATTCACTTTCTCAGGCGCATTAATCAGCGGCGACTTGTTCTCTTTACCTGTTTGCATTCATAGACACCACACCATTACTTGAGTTTGAAGTTGAAAGAACCACAGGAATAAGCTATCAATAACGACGAAGAAGAAGAAAGTTCTCACCCACTACTGAAGGGAAATAGATCTGCCTTCTGAATGAATACCAACAAGAAACGTACCTGCTGGCGACGCTGGCTGCTTTTCTTGAGCATCCAGCCGCGCTTTTTTGGATTCCGACCGCAACGGAGGTGGCGACGTGTACTCTTCACCTGCATATGGTGTCAAATGGGACACTTTGCACTTTACTATCCTTAGTTCTCTATTCCATCACACTTGTAACGAGGACGAAGCACACTTCTGATCGACAAATTCACAAACCTGCAAGAGAGTTCTGACTCAATTGACAGAAGTGAGCTTTTTCAAAAACAAGTAACCACATGCAGGTGAAGAAGATGGCGTCAGAACTACTGAGACAAATTTCCATACTAAGAGCAGTCTTTTCCGTACATATAAGTATACGTGGACGACGCTGCGCCCGCAGCGGCTCAGCTTCCTTCGCGAAGTATCTGCGCGGCTTGATCATGGTATTTGTAACGCTCGGGGTCGGGCACAAAAAGAGGATAAACGGGTCTGCTAGTGTAATTTTATTGGACGAAGGAGCTTGGTTAGTATGTCAATACCAAGAACATGACAGGGCAATCAAGTGTCTGCTACAGAAAAAAAAATGCATCCGAATGCGCATGATCTACATCGCACGTTGCACCCCTCTCTCCGAGTGACGATTTCAACTTCGCTCCACTCTCGTGCTTAATATCGATAGCACACCCCGACACGAGAAGCGCGAAGAGCTGCACACGCATAAGGCGAAACTCCTACTCTATCCTACGATCCTCTTTGATTGAACCGCCCAGACCGAGCAAAAAAAAGCAGTCAGTTGCGCTTTTTAGTAAGCTCCCCTTTCACTAGACGACAAGCCTTCACGGTCACCGATGCGAACGAAGTGCTTCACAAAACAATGAGTCTCAGATCTGGGCTACGTGAATGGCCCTAGACTCCCTCCTGCTCTATGGTAGGGCCGCTTTCTCTTTCTCACAAAAAAAACCTCCTAACTTGCTAGGATGGCTTCGACTCAAAGCCGAAATGCCGAGAGTAGCTAGGTAGGTGCGAGGACCAAGCGAGACCTTTTCTCCACTCCTCAAAAAACAACGAACCTTTCAGAGACGTCCTCATCTTACTTTCTGGAACGGCATAGCGCTAGTCTTGATTCAGAGTGCCTCGAACTAAAAAACAAACTAGCGACGCCATTCCTGGCGCCTCTCTCCAAGGCAAGCCGATATGTAAAACAATCGAAGAAAGACTGATCAAGACAGATAATACTTGGCGTCGTTCAACAACAATCAAGCACACAAGCTGCCTACACACTATTGGAATAAGAAAGCATGCTTATACATAGCCACTCCCTCCCTCAACTACCAAACGCAAACGCGCGCCTAACAGAAGCTGGTGAGCATTAGCATGGCCGCAACGATACGGCCACCCCGCGCCCCACGTGATTCAGAAAGGTGGGAGAGGAGAGAAACTCAATAGACACATAGCTTCACCCCCTCCCTCCTCCCGTGAACCGGACGTTCTCACCGAAGGGACGCATCTACCAAGAAACAGGAGGCTTAGCCGTTCGCATGACGGCCGCCCGTTGGGTGACCTTCGTTCAGGCCCAATCCAGTAGGTACTTCCTACGCGCAAAGCCGAGCGAGGCTGCCTGTCAGTACGTCAGACAGCCACACAAGACAATGGCCAACTCGAGACACGCACCGACCTACTAAGCTACCGACCAGGAGAATGACAATAAGTCAGCGCCAATCCAGAGTGCACGGGCGGACGCTACCAAAATGCATGACAGACACTGCCTCGCAAGAGCTTTCCTAGGCTGCTCTAGCAAACAAACTAGGAAAGACAGTGACAGACTCGCTTCTCCAACCCCGTGCCAGTTGGAAAACTAACGGGGCGAACCAATGAGATACGTGCCCACCCAGCGATGGAGAACCATCGGCCCCGACGGTGGCCAATCAGTGAAAGAACACACACGAGAAACTCACTGACTCACTTGACCCCCGGCAAGCACGCACCCGCACGCCCACGAAACTACCTACGCAGAATGACGAGGCCCCGCTCTTTGCCACATGCAAAGAAAGAACCAAGCTGCCACAATCAATGAACGACCGCGCCACCATCCACATGGCAGACGAAACGCGCCCAGGCGAGTAAGTATATGGGCCACAATGCTCCCCATTATCACCCACTGTGAGCATCCGCCGGCCGTGCTGCTCCCCCCGACTCTTTGCACTAAGTAAATGACTGAACCCAACCACCAAGACCGAGTATGTAAGACCTGCGCGAAAAACACAGCAGGCCGAGCGTGTCTGAGTAACTAAACGAAGCCAGGCAGACTCACTCACTGAACCAACCACGAAGGCACCGACCACGCAAGGAAGAGCCAAAGCGAGGCAGACTGACCGACACACGCGACGGCCCGTCCGTCCCTGCTAGGGCCGGCCTGGCTAATGTCAGGGCCGGCTTACGATGGATCCGAAGCAGGCGGAGCCAACTACTAACTCTCCACATCGCTCGCGGCTAGCCCTCGGGACATGCCTCGCGGTCGCGACCCACTCCCCGGCCCCCAGCCCTCTCGTCTCCCTTCCATGGACAAGCCGGTCGATGATCGTAGCCACGTCGATGTCGATGCTTCCGCTGCTCTCGATTGTCTGACCCTCTTCGGTTTTCCTTGACAATAGTCCACATTTTTAAACCAAAATCCGACGAAAACTCCCAAAAGACGTCGACGGCGAAATCCAAAAACGAAGAAGCCGAACATCTTGAAGGACTTCGACATCCTTGTACACTTTCATGGACAAGCCGGTCGATGATCGTAGCCACGTCGATGTCGATGCTTCCGCTGATCTCGATTTTCTGATCCTCTTCGATTTTCCTTGTCAATAATCCACATTTTTAAACCAAAATCCGACGAAAACTCCCAAAAGACGTCGACGTCGAAATCCAAAAACGAAGAAGCCGAACATCTTGAAGGACTTCGACATCCTTGTACACTTTCATGGACAAGCCGGTCGATGATCGTAGCCACGTCGATGTCGATGCTTCCGCTGATCTCGATTTTCTGATCCTCTTCGATTTTCCTTGTCAATAATCCACATTTTTAAACCAAAATCCGACGAAAACTCCCAAAAGACGTCGACGTCGAAATCCAAAAACGAAGAAGCCGAACATCTTGAAGGACTTCGACATCCTTGTACACTTTCATGGACAAGCCGGTCGATGATCGTAGCCACGTCGATGTCGATGCTTCCGCTGATCTCGATTTTCTGATCCTCTTCGATTTTCCTTGTCAATAATCCACATTTTTAAACCAAAATCCGACGAAAACTCCCAAAAGACGTCGACGTCGAAATCCAAAAACGAAGAAGCCGAACATCTTGAAGGACTTCGACATCCTTGTACACTTTCATGGACAAGCCGGTCGATGATCGTAGCCACGTCGATGTCGATGCTTCCGCTGATCTCGATTTTCTGATCCTCTTCGATTTTCCTTGTCAATAATCCACATTTTTAAACCAAAATCCGACGAAAACTCCCAAAAGACGTCGACGTCGAAATCCAAAAACGAAGAAGCCGAACATCTTGAAGGACTTCGACATCCTTGTACACTTTCATGGACAAGCCGGTCGATGATCGTAGCCACGTCGATGTCGATGCTTCCGCTGATCTCGATTTTCTGATCCTCTTCGATTTTCCTTGTCAATAATCCACATTTTTAAACCAAAATCCGACGAAAACTCCCAAAAGACGTCGACGTCGAAATCCAAAAACGAAGAAGCCGAACATCTTGAAGGACTTCGACATCCTTGTACACTTTCATGGACAAGCCGGTCGATGATCGTAGCCACGTCGATGTCGATGCTTCCGCTGATCTCGATTTTCTGATCCTCTTCGATTTTCCTTGTCAATAATCCACATTTTTAAACCAAAATCCGACGAAAACTCCCAAAAGACGTCGACGTCGAAATCCAAAAACGAAGAAGCCGAACATCTTGAAGGACTTCGACATCCTTGTACACTTTCATGGACAAGCCGGTCGATGATCGTAGCCACGTCGATGTCGATGCTTCCGCTGATCTCGATTTTCTGATCCTCTTCGATTTTCCTTGTCAATAATCCACATTTTTAAACCAAAATCCGACGAAAACTCCCAAAAGACGTCGACGTCGAAATCCAAAAACGAAGAAGCCGAACATCTTGAAGGACTTCGACATCCTTGTACACTTTCATGGACAAGCCGGTCGATGATCGTAGCCACGTCGATGTCGATGCTTCCGCTGATCTCGATTTTCTGATCCTCTTCGATTTTCCTTGTCAATAATCCACATTTTTAAACCAAAATCCGACGAAAACTCCCAAAAGACGTCGACGTCGAAATCCAAAAACGAAGAAGCCGAACATCTTGAAGGACTTCGACATCCTTGTACACTTTCATGGACAAGCCGGTCGATGATCGTAGCCACGTCGATGTCGATGCTTCCGCTGATCTCGATTTTCTGATCCTCTTCGATTTTCCTTGTCAATAATCCACATTTTTAAACCAAAATCCGACGAAAACTCCCAAAAGACGTCGACGTCGAAATCCAAAAACGAAGAAGCCGAACATCTTGAAGGACTTCGACATCCTTGTACACTTTCATGGACAAGCCGGTCGATGATCGTAGCCACGTCGATGTCGATGCTTCCGCCGATCTCGATTTTCTGATCCTCTTCGATTTTCCTTGTCAATAGTCAACGTTTTATTTTAAACCAAAATCCGACGAAAACTCCCAAAAGACGTCGGCGCCGAAATCCAAAAACGAAGAAGCCGAACATCTTGAAGGACTTCGATATCCTTGCGCACTTTCATGGACAAGCCGGTCGATGATCGTAGCCACGTCGATGTCGATGCTTCCGCTGATCTCGGTTTTCTGATCTTCTTCGATTTTCCCAGCTTGGTGTACTCCGCTCCAACTTCCCCAAACTACGTCAAAACCTTCCCAGCTTGGTGCACTCCGCTCCAAGTTCCCCAAACTCCCAAAGCCTCCCCAAGCTCACCACGAAGCATGGAGCTGCCTAAAATTCTCAAAGTTTTACAGTTTTAGAAACCAGCCCCGCAACGGTATCCCAATAAAAAAAAACACTGTTTCGCGGCGGGAATGCGCTCGGGCGGTTTGTGCACTTTCAGAGTTCCAATCTGTGCGCAGACTCTGCAAAACCCGACGACACAGACGAACAGACTCACGGCACGCGACCCATGGCCCGCCGGCGGATCTTTCACGACGCTGCGCCGTTCGGTCGGAAAGGTTCGGCCTCGAGCGCTAAAAATTCTGCCAATTTTATTTAGGAAAGGCCGACAGGATGCACCGGGGGGAGCTCGCTCGACAGGTTCGGTTGCTAGTTCGTCACTCTAGTTCGGTTCCGGGGCTTCTCGGAAACTCTCTAAAAATCCCTCCACTTGTGCACTCTAGTTCAGCGCCCTAATTTGCAAGCCCCCCAAAGCGCGAAAACGCGCAAGGTTTTGTAGTGC